CATTCAGGGTATAAGATACTTCGGCGCGTGGCATCAAGTCAGGCGGTTTAGTAACTGTTGCAACAACTTTTAATTATTTAATGTGCAACGTTTTGGCACAACACAAAGCCGCCAAGTCGACTTGGACTGCAAATGCATTTTGCATAATTTGTATGTATGTGCATCGAGGCGTGTGCAGGCATCGTCATACCCGTATCGCTTCACAAATCAATCTGCTGGCCCCCAATCCCAAACCCAAACTCAAACCCAAAATGCCCCAGCCCTCGTCCGTTTGCCGACTGTCAACACCATGAGGAGGAGGAGCTGAAGAAGGAGCAGGGGCAGGAGCAGGAGAAGGAGGACACTGAATAGATGAAGTTTGAGGCAAAAAGGATGTCTGCAACATGGGGTTGTGAGTGTGTGCGCTGTCTGTGTGTGTGTGTGTGTCAAACATCAACCCTCTCTTGCCACACATTTACACTCTCACTTTAATTTATGTGCCACGACCCTCCATGCCCCCAAACAATGTCATTTGGCTTTTGTAAGCTCACGTGTTACATGCAAATGCGCTTCCTCAATGCCGTCGCCGCCGCTGCCGTCGCTGGCAGCGGGAGCTTCTTTGTCTTTGCAGCGTGGGAGGCGGAGGCGGTGGAGTCGGAGGCGGAGCAGCGGAGGGGAGGTTAAGAGTGGGTAAATATTGTAATGATGTATGTGATTCTCTTTGTTCGGGAATCCTCCGCCCTATCATCGGTTTATTGAAATCTCTTTATGCTGACAACGACACCGTCTCCGTCACCGTCTTCGTCCCCGTCTCCGCCTCCGATTCCCTCCCACTCTAATTATTTCTCCCGTTTTGAGTGCTCGACCACTTGAAGATATTTTTTGACAAAAAATGAAACATTTGCGCAAACATATCTGGCTTTTAATGAAGTAACAACATGGTAAAAAAGTCATTAAAAAATGCTAAATGCAAGTGCCGCATGAAAATCAATAAACAATCAACGGAGCAGAGCAGAGTATATGTATGTGTATGTGTATGTGTATACTGGTATGAAAACTCCGGCCGCGGGGGCCTCAAGGCTGTAATTATGGTGAATGACGTTTGCATGAATGTTGTCAAAGGAATTGCGGGAGGAAATGCGGGGAAAAGCATTTCGAGAAAAACTCGAAGCGAAATTGAAAAACATGTAAAGTGCGTTGACGATTGCGTTTTTCAAGTGCAGGCCAGGGAGGCCATGGGGGCCGACGACGACGATGCCGATGCCGACGCCGCCGCCGATGCCGTCGACTCACATATGAGGCAGATCCGCGGCGTCCCAATGCCCCATCTGTATACCAATTAAAAATGTAGTGGACAACGCCCAAAAAAGAACGCTACAAAAAGCGTGTGGCATGTGGAGTGCAGATGGTGGCTGTTGCTGTCAATGACAGCGCAAATAAAATGCAACAAAGCGTGTTGTAAAACGCGCAGAAATGAAAATCAATAGTGATGCATGCCTCTCCTCTGCATATACATGGACATGGACCAAACACACACTCCCACCATTCTCACACACTCACACATATGTATATGTGTATGTCCTGCCCCATACATAACGAATGGTCATATATAACGCACTATTCACACGATGTTGGGGCAGGTTCTGTGTTAAGGCTGGGGCTGGTCAGCTGCTGTACGAGTATATGAATCGTACATAGGCGCGTGGGTGGGTGTTTGTCATAACAGCGACAACAGCAGCAACATGAGGCAGCAACTGCGGGCGAGGTGTAGCAACAACATAAACACGGGCAACGGAAACGGACCAGAGGAGGAGCGACAGAGGGAGATAGGGATACAGGGAGACAGGGAGACAGGCTCCGGGACCAGGCCTGGTCCATGTTGACGTCAGTCATAGAGCGTGCAAATGTTGACCTACATACAAAACGCTGAGCAAACAGGCGCATAAATGCCACGTTCAACAACTGCAACAACAAGAAGAGCAGCATCGCGCAGTGCAGATACATCGCTCTGTGCGGCTGTCCGTCCGTCCGTCTGTCCGACTGTCCGTCAGGCTACTGGATCCTGGGTCCAGCTGCCAGCACCAACGCATTGTAATCTCCCTACAGAGGGTATTATGAGATTGAGCAAATGTTTGCAGCGTGCAGAATGAATCATTACTTGAAAATATAGCTGGTTATAGTATATGGAGTATATATGATATATACCATATGTATATCTGCCGTTGGAACGATCCATCTACCAGGGTATCTGAAGATGCGACTCCCGAGGCTGGCCATCCGCTCTGGTTTAGAAATTGTCGGAGGACACGGCCAGCAGAGCCGGAATGGTTAATAGCCGTAGCCGTAGCCGTAGCCGTAGTCGTAGCCGTGGACTGTGGCCGGGGCTGGGGCTGGGGCACAGTCCTTTCCTTGTTATTGTTTTTAATACTTAGTACCAGGATCATAATTGTTATGCAGATTTATAGAATTGGGTTGCCAGGCGGTGGGTGACCAGTGGCCGGCATCGGAAATGAACCGAGCCTTTGAATGCACTCAAACAATGGATGCACATCTGCAAAAGACAACTGACCAACTGAATAACTGAACTGAATGCAATCCCAGAAGAAGGACACTCCACCAAAGGCAGCAGAAGGAGAACCCTTTTTAAAAGCACCTAGTAAATCATATGCAGAATATTCTGAAGCTTATCAAATATACGAGTATACATATAATTTGTAAGTTTACCTGATGTGCAAAAGTGAAAATTGTTTAATAGCAATGGCATGACGGGAAATATATTTTATTTAAAAGCGGTTTGCATTTCCAGTGCAAATTTAAACGAATATAAAGAAAAATCATGCATAACTTTACGCAAAATTGTGTCCCACTGCTATGCCATGGCCTGGTTTTTTGGCACACACACACTTTTTGGCACACGTTGCAGTTGCAGTTGCATGGCCGAAAGTGCCAAGGCAGCTGCTGTAGCTGCTGTAGCTGCTGGACGGCACACCACCACCTGACAATGTCTAATGATGACAGAGTGGGGCGCGTGGGGCGCGTGGGGCCCGAGGAGTGTGGATGGAAGTAGAGTGAACAGTGGCCAGCCATAACGGTTGATGTGGATGTTGTTTTTGCAGTGTGCTACGTGTGTAGCACGGCACGGCACGCACTGGCTGGTGGGGTGGTCGGGGCAGGGGCAGAGGCAGAGGCAGAGGCAGTCAACCAGCGAACCAACCGACAAACAAACAAGCCCCACGATGCTTGAGCCAGAGAGTGTTGCTGCTGCAGCTGTGTGGTGTTGGCGCCAAGGGGGTGGGTGATTGCAGCACAGGGCTCCTGCCACTGCCACTGCCACAAACACAAACACACACAGAAGGAGGGAGGGAGACAGGGACTCAATGAGTCAATGACTTTTTGGTGTCGCTCGTTGATGCGCAACGCGGTCCCGTTGTCATTAGTAACGACACTGACACGCACACAGCCGCCTCACACAGCCAGCACTCACTCACAGACAGACACAAAACATAGAACACATACTGTTGCAAGCACTGCCACTGATACAAGAAACACACTCATGAATATTGCTATTGTTGGCTGTTGCTTGTTTGTTGGTGGCTGTGTGGCTCTGTCGCTCTGTCGCTCTGTGGGAAATGCGAGCAGGTCCGCAATAAATTTGGCAGCAAACACGGTTCTGGCTTATGTTTTATTGTTGTGTTTGTTGCCGCTGCTGCTGCTGCTGCTGCCGGTGTCCTTGGTGTGCCTAATGTGTGTCAGCGGCAGGCAGCATGCGGCATGCGGTTGCGGTTCCATACCCCATACCCCATCCCCCCTGCAACACCCACATCTCACACTTTTTACGCATCCCAACAGAAAACAAAATCAACAAAACATTGGCCAGCGACAGCTACAGCGACAGCTACAGCGACAGCCCCAATGTCGAGTGAGATAGAATCATGCCGCATGCTTTTAGGCCAAGTATTATGATTTTGGCAGAGCTCCCTTTTCCCTTTCCCCCCCTCTTCCCACCCTCGTCTCTGTAGACCATAATTTCCCCTGACGCTCATTAGCAGCAGCGCCAAAAGAGCAGACAACATTTATGCGACGGCAGGCGGAGCAGAGCAGAGCCCTAAGTGTGAAATTGTTTTATATAATGCCAAGTAAATTATGCAAATAAAGATCGAGTCCATTAACGGTGCCCTAGGATGTGAGCCCAGGATTTGGCCTGGCCAACTTTTTCAGGACTGATGAATTCCACGTGGAGGCTTTGTTTGTATGCTCGGCTAATTGAAACTCTTTGTAATGGAAATAATGAGCCCATTTGATGCGAGTAGCTGCCATAATTCATCTCATTGTGTCCATTTACTATATGTATTCACCAGCGACAGGGGGAAAAGCTCCATGTCGAAAATATGACGAGCAGTGGTCATCCAGTGGTCAGACAATCAAATCAATGGATTTTCCCTAAAAACACCTTGCTTGAAGACACATTTAAGACATTCCTTTGACATTTGAATATACATATATGGAAATCGAATTAAACTGATAGATAATACCCATCCATCAAGACTCCAACTGCCATCATCATCGCACAGGTCGTGGGGCGTAATCGTAAGCTATGCCAAAAAAAAAGATGAAACTGTCCAAATAATTGAAACATTAGCCAAGGCACTCACGCATGTGGCATGTGGCATGTGGCAGCCACCATACACCCCACCCCGCACTGGTCGCTCCTTCACTGGGGGACCAGTGTAAACACAGCTGTTCGAGAAGGCGCTCGAAGCGCCGTGCCTAACCTCAGACAACAATTGGCGGGAGGGCGCATGCGTCGAGCTGGCAAAGCTGCCACTTGCACCGCCAAGGCATAGCCACCACAGAGCCAACGGACTCAGAATCAGAATCAGAATCGGAATCGGCATCCGGCAGTTGCTTTTCGAGGTTCGCAGGATACGCACGGATCTGGCGGATGCAGAAAGGGGAATGCAACTCGGAGCGAACGAAAGTGCGAAGTGAATGAACGAAGTGCGAGTACGAATGGTTCCGTGAGTGTGGTGAATTTTTTTTCGAGAGAGTGCCACACGGTGCCACACGGTGGCTTCCATCCGAACATCCAAGCATCGCAGTCAAGTTGAGTCCTTGCTGGCAGTCGGTCGTCTGGACGGGAAGAGCTCTACGTTCAACTTCTGTGTGTTAGCTCCGAGTAGAGTGTGTGCCGGCAATGAAGTGAATCTTCAGTCCTGGCCATGCAGTCCCTCAAAACATAACATAACAAAACACCAAATCATCATCACCCAAACAATTTTTTTTAAAAACAAAGATTGAAAAGTTGTGCCAAAGAAAACCAAAGAGTCAAGTGTCTGAAATGTAAATCAGCTGAAGAGTTCAACCCAAATCAAATCAAAATTACAAAAATCATTGCCACGCGAGGAAAGTCCGTGAGAAACCTGCCCCAGAGAGAGAAAGAGGAACCGAGACCGAAACCGAACCCAAAACCAAAAATCCAGACCAAAATCAAAACAGAAGCCGGAAACCATGTGGATTAGTAGCCGCCTCTTCGTGATTTGTTTGCTGCTCCATCTTGGTAGGTGCCACCTTCGCAGTCCCGCAACCAATCTCTTGCCACACGCTTAAGCCCAGGCTGCCGGCATTTAGGAGAAGGTCTCCGGTCCCCCCGTCTGTTTGTCCCGCCTAAGTCGCATGGCACGCGCCTCCAAGGCATCCAAGTTATCCCCGTTTTGCCAGTGTGTTTTTGTAGCAAGTCCCAACAGCTGTCGGCATATTTTTTGGATTTCGGTTTTACGCCTTTTCGTGAATAAAACAAAAGGATTTAGGGGCTTTGGGCGGGAAATTCTCCGGGACTTTGAGGCGGTATTAGGCGCCGGATGGAGGAGAAGTGAAACTTTTGCCAGAAATTATGTACGGGGGCAATTACTCACTTTATTATCATTCAAGACGCAATCTTCAGTACCACATAGAGACCTGAATTTATGGTGATTCACATGAGTGAGGACTTGGTGGCGAGAGGGAGGCTCCGTAATTTATGATACGAACTAAGTGCAAATGACTTGGCCGCTTTATGGACCGGCCAAGAAGAGCAGAAGCCCATAAAAGTGGCAGAAAAACTAAGGCCGAATCGCCTCTACATAATACTCGTACGAAATGGCCTTATGATAAAAACCAGGCGTCAATTTATGCTCCACAGAAACCGCTCCAAAGGCCCTTCCAACCTCTTTATCCTTCCAGCATTATCCTATTGTGTGTTTGTGTGTCTGTGTGTGTGTGTGGGACTGCCTAATGAAATGTGTCAGGAGCAGAGAATTCGATGGACCTATCGACCTTTTCAAACTCGTATCAGCGGGGGAAACCTTTTTCGAAATTTGATATTTCCAATTTTCATTGCCTAGCTCCAGCATTCGGTGGGGGGCCTACAAGGGGACCCTACATACTCGCATCTCGTATATTTGGCTCAAAAAAATTATCAAAATGCCACACAGATATCTCATGTTTCCCAAATATATGTATGTCTTCGTATCTGTATATTTGCACCCTCGCCGGAGCTCGGAGCTGGGGAGCAAATGAAAAATATGCAAATGAAATTGTTGCTCAATGTCTAAGCGCACACACAGTTTGCTCGGGGGGCAACAATCCTCATCCTCATCCTCGTCCACGTCCTAGTCCTCGTCCTCGTCTCGTAGTGAGAGATGGCTCACATTTTTCGATGTTGTCATTTCATTTCCATGCAGATAAACATAAAATATAATACGTTATATAAAATCACCAGGAGCAGCAACAGCATCGCCACAAATCCGATTAGACGGCAGTTATATGGAGGATTCCACATGCACCCGTATAAACATATACGTATAGGGATAGGGTCCGAAAAATTATGGAAAATTATGGAGAAGTTCTCTATGCACTTTGATTGATTGTGTTCTAAATCGTTTATGACAAACGCTTTAATTTGCTGCAGGATTAATGAAGTGCGGGGAAAAAGTTTCAGAAAAATATGTGTGCTCCAGATGGCAACACTCGCATTTATTATTAATGATAAGTTACAGAGTTTAACTTCTGTTAATAGGAGAAAGTTTTATGACAGCATTACAGCGCTCCAGTATTTTGTTTATTCTCAGCAAAATAAGAGATTTTGTCGACCCAAAAAAAGGACACAACTAAATCAAGTTATTCACAATTATTATTCATTCCATTGTTTTTTTATTTTTTCTTTTTTTTTTGCTTCTGTTGTTGGTTTGCGCGCTGGTCTGTAAACATTTTAACTTCTTTCAAGTTTTTCCTTTATTTTTCCGTTTTTCTTTTGCCGTTTCCCCAGCAATATTGAGCCTCGATATCTTTTGGGTGTTTGGGTCACGCCTCCGTGCCTGTTATTGAGCATAAAAATTGAATTTCCTGTATTTTTCGACCTGATTGCTTACACGGGTCCGGCCCACCAGTTCCGTTCAAGGCGCTCGCCCGGGAATATCCGTGGTTACTTAAATTTCCTTTGAGTCCATCTCTTTATAAGGGGACTTGGTGGCAGACAGACGGAGCTCGTGCCCAGATCGTGCACCATTAGAAATATTACCACTGCAGTCTGTGGCGGGGACAGCCGGAGACACTACATGCATCACTTATACATACATACATAACTTATATGTACATGTGCCCCCGCCTGGAGGCTACGAAATAATTTTGAAAAGTGCCAAAAGGGCATAATCCAAACAGAGAGAAAAAGGAAGTACCGTCGAGAGAAAGGACTGAAAAGAAAGCTGAACACAGAAATAATGTCTGAGAAGCTCGGCAAAGTAACCCCTCAAGACTCGCACAAGTGGACGGCGGGGGGAGGCGGAGGAGCACACTCGCTAGGGAGTGGAAATGGAAATGGGGGGCGGAGGCGGGGGCGGGGACGCTCCACACAAAACGAGCGGAAATGCGAGCCAAAGCCGAGGGGCAGACAGGCCGATGCGGGGATGCAGTTGCAATGCCAGTTGCAAGTACAGACCCAGGGAACTGGAGAAAACAATTTGGAAAGGAAATTTGAGGCAAATGGAGACAATTTTAATGCGCTTCTCCAATGGCCGAAACGAAACGGAACGAAGGCGTTAAAACCAAATTGTTGGCTTAACGAGCAGAGGTGCAAATTTCAATAGGTTTTAATAGGAAAAGATACATTTGGAAAACAGTTACTGAATGCAATATCGATGGACATTTCGATGAACATTCGAATACTTAGTAAGAGACCTTTTATCGATTTTGAAGATTGGTTACTTAAATTCCTCTTTCCCAAACCCCATATTCTATAGTGTCAACATACGCGATTATATGGGATTTGCAAGAGAAAATATCCCTTATTCTTTTATGAACTAGTTTAGGGTTTCTACTGATTATGCAATTCCCCAATAAAACTCGAATTTTAAGAGATAAACGTGAGTTAAATTCCAATAAATAACCTCTTCTTTCTTACATATAAAGTGGCAAACATTAGACATTTAGTCGACTTTAAACTGTTCTTTGATTATTCGAAATCGTTTCATATAAGAGTAGGGGTTTCGCAAGTCTTTTAAAATACATTTAACCCTCAAGGGTTTACGAAAGATCATGAAATGGGGAATGCAGTACATCGAATCGAAACCACTCAACGCAAACTAGCTCTTCCAGTAGATATTTCTCATTCTTGCCGTTTTGCCGAAAGATCGAAATGCTCTGGCAAGCGCATACAGCGCTGGCTAAGAGAAGTTTCATGAATTTGGAATTCGTCATTGGAGCCGAGCCGAGCCATTGCCATAGGCCGAAGAACAAGTCGAACAGCCCAAAGGAAAGGAATCCGAGTGGGGACAAAGCCCACACAAACACACACACATCCTGGCGAGCTCAAAAGGAAGAGCGGAACACACGCACAGGAACAAGGGGAGGGTGGACTTTTTGTTTTCGCAGGAAAGAATAAAAAACCGTACAAGTGGATGTACATGCACCCACCCAACCGCTCAAGCAACCCAACCTCCCCACCACCCCACCACCCAGTCCCTGTCCCGGTCCCAGACCCAAACCCACCCACACACATGAGATCTTGCCGTACTGTAAGGCACATGCTCGTAAAACATACCCTTTCTACCATGAGAGACGAGTGCCAGGCATACTCAAGACATACTTGCAATAATTTTATGGCCTGGCAGAGGCCTCATCTTCATCCGCGTCCAGGACCCGTGCCCGTGCCCGTGCCCGTGCCCGTGCCCATACCCGGGAGCTGCGGCTGAGCTGCTGGGCTGCTGGGCTGCTGGAGTAGAAATCTGAGTAGGACCGGGATATGCTAGCCATGAAATCAGCGGGGAAAATACTGGAAATGGAACGAGGAGGAGGCGGTGACGGAGACGGAGACGAAACCAGAAAGCAGTTACATAAAAATCCATGCTGTCGAGCATAAAACAAAAAGCGCCTGGCCAGGCACAACAAAAACCCGTACAAAAGGCAAAAAAAAAAAAAACAGAAACTCGGAAAAAAATGGAAAAGAAAAAGGAAAAAAAAACAACAAAAAACAACTCTAATTGCAGACACAATGACTCGTGGAGAAGGGAAGAGAGCGAGAGGGGGGACGGCTGTTGGAGATTGAACGAGTTGCAAGGATTTGCACAGCGCCGCAGGGGCAGACGAGAGACAGCCGAGGCGCATTCATGTGGAATATGAAGCGAAATGTCAATTTGAGAAATATATACATATAGAGATATATACATATATATATAGATATATATATATATATGTATGTAATCGTACTCGGTTCCAAAACTCCCCAATGGAAAGGAGGGAGCGGCAACTGGGAGCCCAAGTCCCAAGCTAAAGACGAAATTGTTATTCTAATTTAAGATAAGGCAAAATCTGTTTGTTCTCGAGAGCGGGGCTTCGGATGAAATGGAAATGGGCGACAATGCCTTGTCTGCCTTGTATCCTGGGTATCCTACAAAATCGGCTTGCTTATTAAAGAGCAAAAAGGTTAAAAGGAGACACCCACACGGGCACACGCCCATACCCAAGAGGGCTCTGAACAATTTATGCATTTTCCATATCACTTTTCACGGATTATTGCATATTTTTATGGCACTGCATATAAATAGCAATAAATGTTTTTATGCCTTTTCGCTGAATCCAAATGCGTACCAAAATTCTAAATGGAATGCCTGGGAATATCGTAGTCATGGAATACATTTTTCGAGGGGTTTGGAATATACATATATCATGTACTTCCTCCCAGTAGTTTGTTGGGAATATTGCTTAAGAGGAAAATTTTAGGGATGTGGATTTTTGAAGAAAAGTTTTCAATCCAGAAGAAATAAACTAAGAATTCCTGCCAACTTAGGATATTATTATAACTAAATAGAATACGATCATGACTATAAGCTGTGGAGGCTGTCCAAAATTCCAAAGTTCTAGTTTAAAGTTAAGTTCAAAAGAAATAATATTTGGATCTCCTTGCATGATTGCTAAAAGTAAATTACGAGTGCAATAACTGATACTGACATAAATAATAAATAAATACCTCATAGTTATGCTTGTATATTCTGTCTAAGTTTCAAATCTCTTTTCGTTTCATCTTTATCATGCAGATGCAACCTGCAGTGAACCGTTTGAAACACATCTGCGTGGTCCTGGATTCGTGATGGAGCCGCCGGGACGAGTGGAGTTCTCGAACTCCTCGGGCGGCTGGCTGGACTGCTCCGCCTCGGGTAGCCCGCAGCCCACCATCGATTGGGTGCACGCGGACGGTACTGCCGTTACCGAGATCCACGGAGTGCGACGTGTCCTGCGGAACGGCACCCTCGTCCTGATGCCGTTTGCGGCAGCTGCCTATCACCAGGACATCCACAATACGATCTACCGCTGCATCGCCAGCAACTCCGTTGGGCGCATTGTGTCCCGGGACGTGCAAGTGCGGGCTGGTAAGTGAAATGCGGGATGCGGGATGCGGGATGCGGTATGGGGGCCGTGGCATGGCCCAGTCCAGAGATGCATATTAAATGAAATATACTCGTATTTTTCGTGTGTTCCGCAGTCGTGGCACAGGCCTACAAAGTGGATGTGGAGGTCCTATCCGCGTCGCGGGGCTGCACCGCCATTTTGCGTTGTGTGGTGCCCACGTTTGTCAAGGAATTGGTACGAGTGGTCTCGTGGGTTCATGAACCCGCTATCTACATCTATCCCTCGTTGCAAGGCGGTAAGTAACACGGCAGGAGTGCAGGAGGACAAGGCAAGGCAAGGCAAGGCAGGGCAGGGCAGGGCAGGAAGGGATGAGGCATCATCTCTCTGTCTGCTTCATGTGCATCCCTGCCACTGACTGTAGGGACTTCTGACTGCCGACGAAGCGGACCAAAAGGACACGGAACGGGGCTCGATTCGACTCGACTCGACTCGAGTCGCCTCGAGTCTGCATCCTTGTCCCTGTGTGGCAGCGGCTTCCCAAGCCAACAAAGTGCATTGTTTGTTTGCAGTATTTGCCTCACATGTTTGCCTGCTTAACTGCCACAACCATCTGCACCTACCACTAGTGCTATCTGCTCTCCCCTCCTTACGTGCATAATTAACATTGTCCTTTAGCAATTTGAGAAGCGCTTTTAGCCCGCCCTAAGCCACTCTCTCTCCCACTCTCGGCTTGGAAATCTCTCCCTTTTTGTAAAACTGCTTTCTGTCTATCCCTCAAGAATACCTTAAGTACGTGCATGCGGTGAAGTTAAAGGTTGAGGGGATATGTTCGAAGTTCGGACTGGCCTTGGACATCCATCTCGAAAAGAGCTTCGCACGATAATTGACTCATCTCCTTCTGCTTTCCACTTTTCGCAGACGGAAAATTCCATTTGCTGCCCACTGGCGAGCTGCTCATCCACAATCTGCAGGAGAGCGATGAATCGCAGTCCTTCCGCTGCCGGAGCATGCATCGCCTGACCCGCCAGGTTGTCGTCAGCTCGCCCACACGACTACGTATTAATTGTGAGTATACCTGCTTCTGCTCGTACTCCTGCTCCTCGCCTGGGGGCTGGGGGCTGGGGTTCCCGAACCGAACCGCAGCGAGACCGAAGCCAAGCCATCAGAGCACATATCGTGGCCACGTAACTTCCACTCGTATCCCTAACCAATGTAATATCTCTCCATCATCTCTACCGCCGCTCTAGCGCATCGCGGCATCATTTCGCCGAGTGTGGTGGAGCACACGGCTCATGTGCAGGTGTCGCAGGACGAGGGCGCGGTGCTGCTGTGCGTCGCTCAGGGCTGTCCTTCCCCCGAATACAGGTGTGTATGGTGGCAGAAATCGATGGGATGGATACACACACATACTCATACACGACCTACCGCTCAGAAAGGCTTTAGCACACATTTCTGGTGAAACTTTTGACGTTGACAGGCTATGGCTGTGGCTATGGCTATGACTATGGCTCTGGCTCTGGCTCTGACTCTGCCGCTGGCTGCGGCACACATACATACAGACACACACCACACACACACACCACACACACACACAGACTGCTATTAGTTATTAGTGGCAGCCGAGCACTTGTGTGCGTTAATTGGAACGCATACATCTATAAAATGTGCGGGCAGGGCATTTAGTTTGCGGCCAAATAAATGAAGAGACTGACTTTGATCCGGGAAAAAGGTAGAGCGAGAACAAGAATATAAAAAGTGTCTAAAGAGCCGGCTCCATTGGGAGCCCTAATTGAAATGTGAGCTAACTAACTTTCTCGACGGACGATGGGGCGTATGTGTGATATATGGCTTGCGTATACGCCACGTTGAGCCCAGACATCAACAACAATAGCATAGGTAATGATGTGTGCATAGTCGCAAAACTGCGCCAACAACAGGCAGATGAGCGGACACACGATGAGCGGACAGACGTATGTGCAGCCATAATTACGCTTTGATAAGCAGACAAGTAAAACAAAGTAGAAACTGTTGGGGAGGAGTGCTGCAGGAGTACTCATACGAGTAGATGAGGGGCAATGTCAGACTGCCGGCTGGAAACAAAAGAATCTATAAGCGAGACCAGACAACGCCAGCAGGATGGATGGATGGATGGATGGATGGATGGATGGATGGATATATAGATAGATTGCAGCACGAGGGTTTTCACTGGCAGCCATTTCATAATAATTAAAACAGAAAGGAAAGAGTAGCGTGGGGATAATGAGCCGGCAGAGGATTAATGCAACATTAGACAAAAGAAGTGCATACTGAAAATGTGTTGGAAGAGCATAAAGGTAGTCCCCAAGGCCTTGAACTTCAGGACGGTGTCCCTTGGCTCTGTAATTGTGGGGAAAACTTTATCTTCTGTTAGAAAATGTTCAGCAAAAGCCATGACAAATGAACTCTAGCTGCCAGTCAAAAAGTCTGGTCCATTAATTAAAGTCTGTGGGAAAGTATGCTAACCGACGACTTGAAAGAGGGAATTTCATCTACCATTTACATGTATATAAAAGCAATTTCCTTATGTGCATTACGTAGCCAATGCCTGGAATTGCCGAATGGATTGCAGCGTTTATTTTTACCCCACATCTTTCGTTTTACTCATTTTGTAGGGTTTCCAATTGAAAATCGCGATTAATGGAATCCATTTATAATAGTCGGACCGAATAAATCTTGCCAATTTCTTCCTCTGACCCACAGCTGGTATACCCACAACGGAGCCGGACCACTGCCCGTCCTGAGCGGCCCCCGGGTCCGACTGCTGGGCCCCATCCTGGCCATTGAGGCCGTCACGGGCGAGGACTCCGGCGTGTACAAGTGCACGGCCAGCAATGTGGGTGGCGAGGCCAGCGCGGAGCTTCGCCTCACCGTGGCCACGCCCATCCAAGTGGAGATCTCGCCGAATGTGCTCAGCGTCCACATGGGGGGCACGGCCGAGTTCCGATGCCTCGTGACCAGCAACGGCAGCCCCGTGGGCATGCAGAATATCCTGTGGTACAAGGACGGGCGCCAGCTCCCTTCGTCGGGCCGCGTCGAGGACACACTGATGGTGTCCCGCGTGAGCCGCGAGAATCGGGGCATGTACCAGTGTGTGGTGCGACGACCCGAGGGCGATACTTTCCAGGCCACCGCCGAGCTGCAGCTGGGGGGTAAGTTTCGTCGGACTAGCCGAGAACTAGCTTATGGCTAAAATATTAATGTGTTCCCCTCTACAGATGCCCCGCCAGTGCTCCTGTACAGCTTCATCGAGCAGACCCTGCAGCCGGGACCAGCTGTGAGCCTCAAGTGCTCTGCAGCCGGCAATCCAACGCCGCAAATTTCATGGACACTGGACGGATTTCCGCTGCCATCAAACGGAAGGTAATTGAACTTGTTGAAAACTGCATGGGAGGGAAGCGAGGGGGATGGACTGTGGTGGGGATGTGGGGCTGTGGGGCTAAAGGGGGCTTGGCAATGGCAGCGCTGCGGGCGTTCTCTACAAAAATTTATCTCAACTGCGGCACCCTACTGCGGTTGTGGCTGTGGTTGCATTTATTGCAGTCGTGCAGTCCTTGTGTGTATTTTCTGCTTTTCCCCCATTTCTTTTTTTGCATTTTCCTTTCAAAAAACACACACACACACACACAGATATTTTAAATAAAAAAAATATACACACATATAGAAAGTGGCTGCCGACTGCCGCGCCTACAGAGGTGGGTGGGTGGCTGGAAAGTTGGGTGGCGTCGTCGTCGTCATCGTCGTCGTCTGCTTCAGCGTTCATTCACTTCTAGTGGGACCCCGGGATTTCCACTACCACTGTGCGACTGTGTGACTGTGTGACTGTGTCTGTGTCTGGCCCAAGGTTTTGGCCAGGCTTTCTATTTGTTAATTAAGCCCTGGCCGAGAGCGTACTGGCCCGCCTTTGATTCCCATGGATCTGGCTATAGCCTACGCATTTAATTGCATTTTTAGTTGGCCCTCTGCCAATTTTATTAAATTCTCTAAGCGAGGCCTTAATGACATTGACATTTGCATCAAATCGAGTCGAGTCGCCTGGATCGTATGGGAGCAAAACCGAATCGATTCAGACTCGAAAAATGCGGAATACCGAAATCCGAATACGGAATACGGAATAGTTTGTTTGCTTATGGTACACACAAATACGAGTTGAATTGATTGCCAATTCGGTCTCTCCGACATTGTCAGCGGCATTTCATTCGATTTTTATCGCCCTTTCTCACTCTGTCCAACTCGTTTTTTTGTTTTTTGGTTTTTGTTTTTTGTCTTTGCGACAGTCTGTAGCCGGATCCGTACTTCATTTGCAGTTCGTTGGCAGCTGCCACTAATTGTTTGAGTTACGTCTGTAATGATTTGCAAGTCAAAGTTTTCACTCGGCGACTGTTGACTTCTGTTGTTGATTAAAAAATACTCGTACCAGCAGCAGTAGCCATGGCAGTGACAGTGGCAGTGGCAGGGGCAGAGGCCGTGGCCGTGGCACTGCCCGCATACCAAACAAAATCAGTTTTTATTTGCATTTGCCACTGACTTCGGCGCCAGCTTAGTGATGCGATCCAGAACGAAACAAAAAGGGGCGAAGGGACAGGCAGCCGTGTCCTGATTGTTGTCCTGCGTCGCCCATCTGCGCAATATTTTAATTAAAACTTATGCAATATGTCGAGGGCAGCAGCCGAGAGTGCTATCACTTTGATGAGATAATGGATAGCAGTGTGGTAACAGAGTCGCCTGAGAAATACCCTGGCAGAAATCGATCCTTGTCACTCCTTCTTTAACGACCTAGCTTCTAAAGTCTAGCTTCTAAAGTCCTTGATACTCTGATTTTCTGAGCTGCAATATGAGTCTCTATTCCACCGCTTCTATGAACAAGTATAAAGACTTATACCCAGTCCACCATGCCCAGCAATAGCTGCAGGTCTTCAATACTTCACTTGAAGACCCCATAAAAAGCATGCGAAATTTTATGCATGTAAAACACTTGGGACTGCATCTTAAAGCTGTCGACGACATTGTCATGAATTTTTTGACTCGGGAGGCGGCGAGGAGAGGCCTGTTCTTTGCCAGCTCGGTGGACGGTAGGGCGGATGAGGCGGATAAGGCGGATGGCTGGTGTCCGGCATAGCCGGAAGATGGCTTGACCACAAGGCAAAATTGATTACAAAAATTTGTTCCGACCACTGTGGTGTGAAAATTTGCTTTTGAAAACTTGTGCGGAGTTGACGCCGATGGCTTTAATTTAAAAGTTATTTGAGCGACACAATTTTGACACATAATGCCTGAAGGAGGCATTATCCTGCCGTGCCGTGCCGTGCCGAGTCGAGCCGAGCTGAGCCTGGCAACCTAATTTGCCTGCTCCGCAATGCTGCATAAATTTTGTGTTGCTTCTCGTTTGCGTTGTTATTGCCGAGTTTTAAGTGGTTTACATTATTCGGTTTAAAGGTATATCAACTTGGTAAGTGTATTTATTTAATGCAGACACACACATACACAGACCCACCAGAAGGCAATCGGAGTGGCAGACAGACAGGCAGACAGGGAGACAGGCAGCAGGCAGCAGGCAGCAGGGAGGCAGGCAGGACGGATGGAGAGGCTCTACGAGGAGCCAGACGGCAAGGAGGAGCCTTGGGGCGGAAATTAAATGATTGCGCGCACGAGGTAACTCAGCACTCAAACGCTCATTTTACGCCATTTTCAAAAGTTTGTCTGCGGCGGTGGCTGCCGCCTTCCCTGCCTCCTCCCCTGCCCTTCCTCCTCTTCCTTCCTTCCGTTTGGGCGGGCGTTGGAGCTGCCAAGATGGAGGCGTGTATGCGTGATGTGATGCGATGCGTTAGTCTGCCACTGCAGGCGTTATGAAAATGTTGTGTGTAATTTCGGCCGAAACGAGAAGGCTCTTAAGCAGATACTGTTCGTACGTATGTATTTGTGGCACGAAACCGTCCATGCCCGTAGAGGATACAGGATAGAGGATGCCCTAATCTGTGCCTGGAAACTCAAGTGATTGGGATCTTTTTCCAGCCACCGCCAGCGTCGTAATCCGGCTCAAGCACACACTTTTTCCACTGGGCCAAGTGCAAACTCGATTCGCGTAAATTGAAATTCATAATTTCGGAAACTTTTGCCACCAAAAACTTTTCCCTCTGCCCCAAGTCGCACCTAGGGATTCTTGTCCTTGTTTCCCTTTTTAGTTGGCTGGCATTAAGCCGCCCACAGAGCGGGCGGACGGACGGGGGGCGGTGGGAGAGGACGCACACAACAATCAGGCTAAAACAGCACACAAAAGCCGCGCCAAGCTATTAGGTTTATATTGTTGCAGCCAAAGCGTTTTATGCCCCACACACACACACATACACACACACACATTTAAACTTGTGCAATGCCGTTTAAGCCATTGGAGGATGAGGACCCTCTCTGTACGGCCAGGACGGGTGCAGATGCGGATGCGGATGCGGATGTGTGCAACTTTGTTGCAATTTTGTCCCCGCCATTGTTTCAATGCGCTCAAGTGCTGCAGCAGCCCCGCTCTGTCTGTGTGTGCCACAGCTTCATTTTCATTTAACTACAGTTTCAGTTTCTGGTGTTTTTACAAGCCTGGCCACTCCACTCCACGCCACTCCATAAAACGGCAAAGATTTTTCGGTTTCGGCTTCGGTTTGACTTGGCCGCTTTCTGGCAGAGAAATCGCCGGGCGAAGGGCTGCACTCTGGCGAGGCTTATGCATTCATAAGCTCCCACCACAGGCAGCGGATGGGGCTGCTGCAAAAGTTAATTAAAATTGTAATTACTTTCCCTACGTTGCTACGAGTAGTACGAGTATTATAGCTGCTACTCGAACTCCAACCGTAATGCCAATTGAAAAGTTGCCTCTGAGCCGCAAACTAATGAGCCTGGGGGTGGCTTAGATTCGAATCCCCCACACAAGACGCCGCCGTTTGTTCAAGTGCCACATGGCGTATGCGTAACAATGTTGGCTGTAATTAATGTCTGTGCCAATAGGAAGCCCAGGCAGACAGGCAGACAAGGAAACAGGCAAACAAACCAGCAAGCGAGCGAGCGAACAGAACAGAACTTAATGCCAACTTGAGCGTCTCATGAAATCCTTTTTTTCTCATTATTTTCGCTGGAGCGTAACGGCCGCATTAAGTGGAAGAAGTGGAAGAGTGGAAGAACCGTGTGTGTGTGTGTATAGGCGTGGGCGTGGCACATGACATTGACAGCAATATAGAAACTATGCTAAGCCCCGACTGCGCGGCCAGCGTCTGACAGACTGACAATCTGACAGCCTTCATTACGGCCCGAACATGGCGACGAAAACAAAATGATGCCTACGGCCAAAGGATTTGGGTCAGGCTGCATTTCAAATGTGCCCGGGCCTGAGCTTGAGGATGACGAGTGGGTGCAGTGGTGCATGCACCCCACAAGGGGTGTGAGATGGGTCGCTTAAATATGCACAACAACACGAAAACAATTCTAAAAACCCGCACATTGCGCATACGCCGCGTGCACCCGCTGAAAATCTCTCCATATTAATGTGTTCTCTCGCCTTTGTTTCTCCACTCTCTTTTTGTCGTTGCAGATTTATGATCGGACAATACATCACAGTGCATGGCGATGTAATTAGTCATGTTAACATAAGCCACGTCATGGTCGAGGATGGCGGCGAGTACGCCTGCATAGCCGAAAACCGTGCGGGTCGAGTGCAGCATGCGGCCCGCCTGAATATATATGGTATGTTGTACTCGCATCACACTTTAAGCCCTCTGCTGCACATTTATTTTTATGCATATACATATATATGTATGGTACATAGGTATTCGACTTCAGTGTGCTTGCTTCTCTCGGAAAGAAACAAGCTAAAGAGTTTATGAAGGCAAACATTTTGATTGGCCTTTGATATGACAAGGTTGTGGCTATGATCTGATCGCTAGTCGTGAGAGATGTTAATGGGGAATTGGAATGATCAGATTCCGCCCCAAAAATATGATAAATAATTAGATAACATCTAAATAAGTTTGTATCCGACTCGTACAGACTCCGTTCGGCACTCAAGCCCCGCTCTTGAGTCGAATTTATACTAGTATATGTACACGAACATATATCAAACATGGGCAGCTACTTTACACATGCACTTAAACGTTTTTCCTGCCGTGGCTAGAGCTCCTCTTTCGCTCTGGCATTCGCCTACATTTGCTTGATTTTGTTTTACAACACGTTTGCCATGTCCCGTGTCCCATGTCCCACGTCCCCCAGAATCCGGCTCCCCATCTTTGCTTTGTGCCCTTGCAGCAGTGAAGTGTTGTTCGAGGCGCACACTTTTGTTGAACATGGCTCTTGGCTCTCTCTCCGTTCTCTCGGCTCTCGTCTCTCGGCTGCAGTGCTTTTGGCCCACTCTGCACTGCCCGCACACCATCTGCCTTGTTTTTGCAAGAAATCAAATATTTTTGTGTCGCCAGGCAAACAAAATGGCGTTGCCAGGCACGGAAGAGGGAGGATTGAGGAGAGCGAGAGCGAGAGAGGAGACGAGCAGCGGAGGAGCGGAGGAGCACAAACACAAAACGACAGCAGCGGCAAAAACTGCGCCATGTTTACAAAGTTTTGCAGTGGAAAAGTTAAAAAATAAAGTCAAGAAAACTCTGGTAGAAGCCAGCAGCGAATTTGTAATGCTCTACAAGACAAAATATTACGGAAAACTTGGAAAATAAATAGTTTAAAAAACAGATGGCAAAGTGCAGATAATCACTTTTCCATCATCATAATGAAATGGAATCTTTAATGGACACCGCCGCAGAATACAAACAAAACAAAAAACTTAAAAGAAAGTTCGACTCTGCCGACAGTAATGTGACAAAAGTGATTCAAAAGAAAAACGGCTAAGCCTGATAATCAAACGGAAAGAAAGTTCTGCATACTTACAAGTCTGTTAACAATTTCCGCATGCCCCACGAACATTGTCTGCCTTTGGGAGCCGGAGAAAGGGGAGTGAATCCCACTCCCACCATCATCATTTAGTTTAGAGCCCTGCGATGTCGCTGATTGCGCGACTTGGTAATGGCGGTGATTACAAAAATCTCCTCCCGCCGTGCAATGCACGCCGGTATACACATCCACATGATCAGGGCATGGGACAGGGACAGGGACAGGGACACGAACCACACGACTCACGTATGACATGCTCGAAAATTATGCATATTCTGCAGAAAAAAAATATATAGAATCCACAAGGAATCCAGAACCACAATCCCTTTACCACCCCAATTCCAACTTCCATTTTACACTCCCTCGACAGCCGCCAGGGCCGGCATTTGCTGCATTATTTCCTTCCACGTTTCCCGAAAAGTGTTTTGGCATAGGGGAAGGGGCGGATGGGCAGGCAGGATATGCATATTACATTGTGAAATGCTTCCGGTTGCCCGACTCCTGGCTCCTGGCTCCTGGCGCCTTGCTCACTGCTCCTTGCTGTTCCGCAAATGCAGTTGCAACTGAAGCTGTAGTTGTAGTTGTAGTTGTAGTTGTAGTTGCTTACTGAATTATTAAAAAAGCAACGTGCGCTCAAATCTGTTAAGCATTTGCATACCATCTCATTCTCTCGAAATATTTGCTCTCCTTCTGTCTTTCTCTATGTCACAGGTCTACCGTACATTCGTCTGATTCCAAAGGTGACCGCCGTCTCGGGCGAAACATTGAATCTGAAGTGCCCCGTGGCCGGGTATCCCATCGAGGAGATCCACTGGGAGCGCGGCGGCCGGGAGCTGCCCGACGACATACGACAGCGTGTGCAGCCGGACGGCTCGCTGACCATCAGTCCCGTGCAGAAGAACTCCGATTCCGGCGTGTACACGTGCTGGGCCCGGAACAAGCAGGGCCACAGTGCCCGGCGCAGCGGCGAGGTGACGGTCATAGGTTAGTACTCGTACACTCCTCCTCGTATGTGAGGGCCCTGTGTTCCCCCAACGAAGGCACAGAGAAGAAGACCGGGTCGAGGTTGTTTTCTTTCACAGCTTTCTCCACAGCGATGACATCAGGCGGCGGCGGGCCACGAAACGAAACGAAACAAAACGAAACGAAGTGAAAATTGCATTTTAATTATTAACAGCAAACTAAGTAGTTTCCTATGGCGCTTCAGGCTTTCCTTTTGCCAACCTTTTTCCGTTCCATTCGGGTTTTTTCTGCTTCTGGTTCAGCTTAATTTTGTTTTGTTTCGGTCTTCTGTTCGGTCGGGTGTGTGTGTACTTTTTGGCCCTACTGTAATTAAGTATGCGCAATAATCTAAGCTTAAAAGTTTGTAAATTAAAAACAAAAAAAAAGGAAAAAAAAACGAAAAAAAAGGAAGCAGAGGGAGAAACAGTGTCGGGTCGAGTCCCTTTTTTCATCAGAGTTAATGTTAATGAATTCGCGCCCTAATGAAGCGCGACGCTGATTAAATTTTCATAATTCGCAACCTTTTGCCCCCTGGGCCAAGTCCGGGTGACGAGCAGCTCTGATTTGACTCCTTCTGCTTCCGTTTGTGCTCACCGAATGCTTGACCGAATCCCTTGCAGTGCCGCCGAAGCTTAGCCCCTTCCAAACGAACATCCTGCAGCTGAATATGGGGGATCGCGCCTCGCTCACCTGCTCCGTGGTGAAGGGCGACCTGCCGCTGACCATCAACTGGCGCAAGGACGGGCGCCCCATCGATCCCACGCAGCACATGTCCGTCAAGCAGGTGGACCAGTATAACAGCATCCTAGTCATCGAGAACCTGGGCAGCGACCACACCGGTAACTACTCCTGTGTGGTGCGGAACTCGGCGGCCGAGGTGGAGAACTCTCAGGCCCTCCTGGTCAACGGTAAACACATGAGCCGGCGGAGCACTCTCAGCACAGCCTGAGACAGCCTCCTACCGTTATCCCGTATACCGTATACCATATACCATATACCATATACCAGTAATCCTGTTTAGTTGCAATTTCAAGTAGTTGAGTTCTTTCCGTATGCACTTTGATTCATCACAAAAACACACAAGCAGACCACCCGTTGAAATGCATTGAAATATTCCTCCTTACTCTCTCCTCTGTAAATGATGTTTCGACTTTGGAATGTTTGTACAAATATCTGAGATAATACCATACTACATACTAAATACTACATACATACATAAATACCATTTAGTAGCGTTTTCATTCGAAATGTGTTAACAAAACTGCGAAGGTTTAGCTGTAAATCAATCTTCAAATACGTATACCAATCGACTCATTAACCAATTCCACACAAACGAAAAGCAAATGAAACCCGAACAGCGATCGCGCGTTGCAACGTGGGAATCAACGAGGATTCGTCATCTGTTTCAACAGTGTCTGCAGTCATCAGTGGTGGACTCCTCATCCAGATCCATTCTTAACCAGTTTCGCATGATCTTTCCTCTTGCAGTGCCGCCGAGCATAGAACCCTTCGCCTTCCAGGAGGGCCTGGCCGAGGGCATGCGCACTCGCACCGTCTGCGGTGTGTCGCGGGGCGACGCGCCCCTGAAGCTCATCTGGCTGAAGGACGGCGAGCCGCTGCCCGATCTGCTGGGGGCCAATGTGACCATGCTAGATCAGTACAGCTCGCTTCTGAGCATTCCGTCGCTGTCGGCCACGCACTCCGGGGAGTACACGTGCGTGGCCAAGAATCCGGCGGCCGAGATCAAGTACACAGCTCTGTTGCAGGTCAAAGGTAGCGTACAAGGTTACACACTGAACACACTGAACGCCCACCCCAACGCCCAACCCCCAACCCCAAAACATATCCGATCCACACACATAATACACGAATATTAACTAAGCGATCTTCACTTGCCCCTCAATAACTTTTTGCTTTCCCGCTGATGTATTCAAGAAAAGCTTCTTACTGGTTATTTTCCGTTCTTGATGATATGTATATTTTTTTGGTTGATTTTTAAATAAACTAAGCTTTTGACAAGCTTTTGGGGCAGCTCAACGCTGCCCCACCCCACCAGCTCTGGCTCTAGCCCGGGCCCGAGTCCGAACGTGCTTTGATTTTTTGAGTCTCACAAAAGAAAAACTCCCGAAAGCCCCGAAAGCCCGATCATAACTAAATGAAAGCCCTGCCCTCCGCTTAAAAACCCAACATCAAAACTAATCAACAAATACGTATAAGAGTCCATCCACCCTTAAGTCGCTTTGGCACGCTGTGGGTTTTTTGACAACAGTCTCTCACCAGGTAAACCGTTTAACTGCACTGCTTCTTATGCGCTTCGTAACCAAAAACCAAAAACCGAAACAAAACAAACAAAAATCCTTATAAAATTCTTACACACATAATCCAGTACTCGTATTATATAATGTATCTTTTTATTTGCTGAATATCATTTGAGTGGCTTCTTAAACGACAGTCGCGACAGGTGCACTATCCAGCTCTCGCACCGAAAATATGTAAAAGGGGACTCCACCAGTCTCCCCCATTCAAATTGAGTTTGTGGGAGTTTGGAGAGCGCACTGCATTCGTGATGCGCTGTAATTTATAATTTATACAAATACTCATGCATAAATATGGAAAATAAGCTGCTTTAAGATTCATTTGCTTTATTCGCTTCATACATTTTTTGGTTGCCGCCTTTTCGCCTTTCGCCTTTTGCCTTCGCCTCCGTCGCTGCTGATGTTGACGATGCTACTGCCGCTGCCGCTGTCGCTGCCGCTGCCGCTGCCGCACTCTATCGCTCTGTCGCTGCTGCTGCTGTTGCTGCTGCATCTAGAAAATACTGGAGAAATGCAAAAACTTCCATTTGTTCTGCTCATTTTTGTTCCGTTCTTCCTTTTTCACCCATCCCCCAAATCCCTTGATGTGCTGTTCTGTGCTTAATTAACGAACGAGGGAAACAAAGCAAACGCTCAAAAAGAATGAAAGAGCTACAAATCCCCCGAAGATGCCACAAAACACGCGCTTAAGCTTCTATTCGGCTTTGGTCACTCTAATTGCTCTAACTCTCTCTTCCTCTCTCGTTTATGTGTGTGTGTGTGTGCGTGTGCTTGCGTCTGTGTGATTGTTAGTGCTAGCTCGAGTGACTGTACCCAAATGCATAAACATAATCTTGTTGCAGAGCAAAAAAAAACACCATCCATACATACCACTGATAATAAAAGAACAGAACCACAAAACGAGATGAAAGAAGAAACAAAACAAAAAACCAAATAAATAGATAAGATTTAAAGCTTCGCAGTATTTGCTAATGTAGTTAGAATGAGTGTTTGTTTGTTCCTGTTCCTGTTCCTGTTCCACCCCATAGCTAGTGCACTTTTTGTTTCCGCATGCAAACTGTACATAGGATGCATACGATACTGCCGACTACCGACTACCGACTGGCGACTGCCTTGCATGCGCGTACTGCTGTGAAAAATGAATTTTCATTTCCATTTATCTATGAGTTGCTTGCTATCTCTCTTCCGTTCTTAAGCCCCTGCTTTCAGTTTGTTTTCCGTTGAACGATTATATGCTTTCCACACCCAAAAATTGCTCCGCAAAGCGCCTTTCCAGGGGGCAATTAAGTATATCCATTTGACGAATACAAATCCAAAATTTAATTTATTTTATCAGTTTTCCCCATGCTTGATTTCCCAGGCTGCTGTTGCTCCGGCTGCTGCTGCTGCTGCTACTGCTGTTGTTGTGTGCAATGATTTTTCCCCCGCATTCGAAATACATATACGAGTATTATCATATCTAACCCGCTTTGTATCGTGCCAACAAGAATTCTGCAAAAATACCCAAAAAAAAAAAACAAACAAACAAAAAGAAAGAAATTAAATCAACAGAAATGCTTTTAATTAATGCCTGGCTGGACCCTGGGGCCAGCTGATAATTTCATTTATTGCGCGTATATTTGATCCTTGTGTGGCTTTAATTTTAATTAATATTTTTTGTTATTTTGTTAGCGCTGCACAAACAAAAGCCTGGCAATTAAATGCAGCTGCTAAGTAAACATTTTCATTGGCCTCATGATTTATGGAACATTTTCAAAAAACCACTCACTGGGCGGAGGCGTGGCCTATCGGGGAGATTATTTGTGGAATTTTCAGTTTTATTGGTTCGCTTTTTTCGTGTTTCGCCTGTGTTTTGTTAGCTGCGTGTCCAAAACTACTATAAAAACCCACACATAACGTTACATTTTTTGTTGCGAATTCCATAATTTCGATGCAAATATATTTTCCATTTTCCATTTTCAATTTTCCATTGCGCTTCTGGCATGCCTTTGTTTTCTAATTTATGCGCAAAATATACCAGAATATATTTAAATCTTTTTTTGCGAATTTGTTGTCCCACAAACAACGAACAGCGAGGCACAGAGCGTGGGCGAAAATAACAAAACTTAAATGTGAATAAAATTAAAATTCTACTTTAAATTCAAATAAATATAAAAATAAAAATCCTTGCACACCAACAAATCACATTAAAACGTTAAATCATTTTCCCTTGGATATCCCCTAATAAAATAATCTTAAATAATGAACAACAAACAAACAAAAGCATCGACTTCTATCATTTTTCGATTTTTGACTAAGTTGCATATGAAAACTGATTTTGTATTTGATTTTGAAGCAAACCAACCACCCGAGCAAACTATCCTTTTGTACATTAGTTGAAAGTTCCTCCTACTACATACCATACTCTATATGCTACCAAGTTTTCTACCAAGTTTTTACATTTGTGCTAGGCACAAGGAAATCCAAAAGAACGTAAACCAAAATTATTTTCTGCCGTTTTTACTTTGCCAGAACTCTTCACTTTTCCTCTCTCTCTCTCTCATTCTGTCTCTGTCTATATCTCTCCATATCTCTATCTATCTATCTCTAAGAACCTTTACTCTTCTATATGTCCTAGCATTTTTCATTTGAATACAGATCGAATTTTCGAAACTCTATTAACCACCATCTTGCATTACATTACCCATACGCCCCGTAGTGCCACCGCGCTGGATTGTCGAGCCAGCGGACGCGAATGTCGAGCGTAATCGGCACATTATGCTGCACTGCCAGGCCCAGGGCGTTCCCACGCCCAGCATTGTCTGGAAGAAGGCCACAGGTGAGACCACCACCCACAGAGCGGGATCCCCCAATAGCCGAAAGTTTCACCCATTCTCACCCGCTCGCAGGCAGCAAATCTGGAGAGTACGAGGAAGTTCGGGAACGTCCCTTCACCAAGCTCCTGGCCAACGGGTCGCTGCTGCTGCAGCACGTGAAGGAGGATCGGGAGGGATTCTATCTGTGCCAAGCCAACAATGGCATCGGCACTGGCATCGGAAAGGTCATACAACTGAAAGTGAACTGTGAGTATCTGCCGAGTGTGGGGGGGAGTGTTGGGTCCACAGGGTGATTAAACTTCGACTCTCACATCTGCAGCCTCGCCGTACTTCTCCTCCACGTCCCGCTCGGTCACCGTGAAGAAGGGCGACACGGCGCTGCTGCAGTGCGCCGTGAGCGGCGACAAGCCGATTAACATCGTGTGGATGCGCTCTGGCAAGAACACCCTTAACCCGTCGACCAACTACAAGTGAGTGCAGTCCTCCAATAAGCGTAATGGGGAGCCTCAGTTCAATCATTGCTTCCAGGATATCCGTCAAGCAGGAGGCCACTCCGGACGGAGTCTCTGCGGAGCTCCAAATACGCACCGTGGACGCCACCGACAGTGGGCCGTATTTCTGCAGGGCCAGCAATCTCTACGGCAACGATCAGCAGCTGGTGCAATTGCAGGTCCAAGAGCCGCCACAGCCACCCAGCGTTCTGGAAGCGGCCATGATTAGCAGTCGATCGGTGAACCTCAAGTGGCAGCCCAAATCCCTGGGAACAGGGGATGTGTCCAAGTACCTGGTGGAGTACCGGGAGGCCGATCGTAAGTGGGCACAGCACTTCCTCACAAAGATTTATGATATATTTTCTGCCATCTATCTCTCTAGCAGCATTGTTCGTGGAACAGTGGCAGCAGCTGGAGGTCAAGGATCCGCCCTCGTTTAACGCTTTGATAGAGAACCTCAAGCCGGCTACGAAGTACGCCTTCAGGGTTATAGCCGAGGGCAATGCGGGACGCAGTGCACCCAGCCAGGAGCTGATTGTCCGCACCGAGCCGCAGCGCCCAGCGGGCCCGCCTCTTAATCTCTCCGCCAGACCTCTGTCCTCCACCGAGCTCCTGATCAGCTGGGTGGCTCCGCTGCCAGAGCTCCGACACGGCGACATCCAGGGCTACAATGTGGGCTACAAGCTGGCCAGCTCCGGGAACACGGCCTACAACTTCACCTCCGTTTCGGGCGACGGCGATGGTGGCAGCGGGGAGCTCCTACTGAGCGGACTGGCGAAGTTTGCCCGCTACAACGTCGTGGTGCAGGCCTTCAATCAGGTGGGACCTGGACCCCTCTCCGAGCCAAGCGCTGCGCAGACTATGGAAGATGGTGAGTGTCCTTGGATCCCCCCCCAGTCTTTCAGAGATATCAATGCTTTCCCCGCCTCAGTACCCAGTCGTCCCCCGGAGGATGTGCGCTGTGCCGCCCTGTCCTCGCAGTCGCTGCAGGTCTCCTGGCAGCCGCCTCCGATATACCACACGAACGGACTACTGCAGGGCTACAAGCTGGTCTTCGAGCCCATCATGGACGACATTCTGCCCAGCAAGGACGAGGTGGAGTCCCGCAAGACAACGGCCCTGACAATGGTGCTGACGGGTCTGCGAAAGTACACGAACTACAGCATCCAGGTGCTGGCCCACACACGCATGGGAGACGGATCCGTGTCCAAGGCCCTGTTCTGTCACAGCGAGGAGGATGTACCCGAGGCGCCGGCAGACATCAAGGTGGTGGTGAGCTCCACGCAGTCGCTCTACATCTCCTGGCTGCCGCCCACCGAACCCAATGGAGTCATCACCAAGTACAGTCTGTACACGCGTGTGGTCAATGGCCGGGAGGAGCTGAACAACGAGAAGCGGAGCCTGCCGTCGCAGCAGCACTTCTACGAGTCGAAGGGCCTGCATCCCCACATGGAGTACCAGTTCTGGGTGACGGCCAGCACCCGCGTGGGAGAGGGTAAGAGCTCCAGGGTAGTCTCGCAGATAACCACCAACCGTGTGCCGGCCAGGATTATCTCCTTCGGGGGCCCAGCAGTACGGCCCTGGCGCGCCACAGTCACGCTGCCCTGCACGGCGGTCGGCAAGCCCAAGCGTGAGTGGTTCAAGTCGGACGTGGCCCTCCGCCAAGGCGGCCTGCACAACTCGCAGCTGCTGGACTCGGGCGATCTGATCATCAACAACCTCCAGCTGGCCGATGGGGGCAACTACAGCTGTCAGGTGGATAATGGCATTGGCACGGACCGCCTCACCCACACGCTGGTGGTGCAGGTGCCGCCCTCCGCTCCGGTCCTCTATGTGACCAGCGCCACCTCCAGCAGCATCCTGATGCACTGGAAGTGCGGCTTCACCGGCAACGCCCCCATCACTGGATACACCCTGTTCTACCGCCGCGGCTCGGGTAACACGGACGAGATGCAGCTCTCGCGGCACGCCTCCAGCCACGAACTGAAGGGATTGGTCTGCGGCAGCACCTACCAAATTCACCTGAGCGCCCAGAACAAAGTAGGCACCTCTCCCACCAGCATCATGCTGCACGTGCGCACCCAGGGCCAGGCCCCGGGCATGCCCGCCTCCACGAGTCTGCTGGCCCCCAACTCCACGTCGGTGCTCATCCGCCTCCACACCTGGCCGGACAATGGCTGCCCCCTGATGTACTTTGTGCTGCAGTACCGCGCCATGACTGACGATCCCGAAACGGAGTGGGTGCTAGGTGAGTGTCTGATTGATATCCATGGATTATTCGCTGATCTCATTCCTTGACGTTCCTTTTGCAGTGTCCAATGCCCTGAAACCGCAGCGACGCGTTGTGGTGCCCAATCTGCAGCCGTCGACGCTCTATCAGATGCGCATGGAGGCTCACAATGTGGCCGGGGCATCGCAGGCGGAGTTCTCGTTCGTGACCCTGACCAAGGACGGCGACCCACCGCCGCCGGAGATCGTGCAGCGCGGCCAGCGAGGTCCGACCGTCTTCTATGGAAACATCAACCTGCTGATACCCAGCATAGCGGCGCTCTCGGGCATGATCTGCACCATCGCCATGGTCATCATTTGCTACAGGCACAGTAAGTATAAAGGGGGGGAGGAGGCGGCCGGGAAGGGTAAGGTGACTCTCCTAATTGACTCAGTTCTGCCCCCTGCTCCATCGCCCGCAGAGCAAAGCAACCAAATACAAAAGGAGTCGCTGGAGAATCGTGCCAATTCGGAGGCAGCGCAGCGTGAGCGCTACTACGCCACCATCCACAAGGTGTCCATGCAGAACAATGACAAGATTCCAGGTATGTCATGGAGTGGAGTGCTGTCACTCGATCTCAAAAAGCACTCTCTCTCTCATTGCCGCCGGTCGGTCTCTCGGTATATTTCGCAGAAACCTCCGAGGACATCTCGCCGTATGCCACATTCCAGCTGTCGGAGGCGGGCAATATGTCCCAGCCGCACCACAGCGGGCCGGCCAACACGCTGCTGCACTCGTTCATGTACCACGAGAGGGCCTTGGCCGAGGGCTGTTCATCGCCACCACCAGCTGCGGTACTAAAACCAACCACCCATCACCACCACCACCACAACCAACGTCCTCCAAAGACAATTCATAATTATTATCAGACCTCACCGTTTCATAATATCGTGCGTTTGTTTAATCATTTCCTTGATTTAGCTCTCTCTCTCTCTTTGTCTCTTTGTACTCGTACCTCTGTCAGTGGTTCGACAATTAGTGTTTTTCCCAGTAATAATGTAACGTGCTTTTTATGTTGTTCTGCTCGATTATCCTTTGTTTTATCCCCGATATACCGTATTCCCGAAAATCCCTTAATTGCAATGCCATAATTGTATGCCGTACGAAGGGGGGCGAGTGCTTGCCCCCTGCATCGTGTCACCTGCCAATCTTCCAATCTTGAGTTATCCTTTGTTCGTTTCGAGAGGCGCTCCATCCCCAGGCGCTTCCGTAGTCGCTAGTTTCAGCCACCGGCCGACCGGCAGACAGACCCCACTAATTCCCTTTGCTCTGTTCCATGTGCAGTCGAAGAACCGAAGACGCCACTCGCGCAAGACAGAGCCGGAGAGCGAGGAGTCGGAGTCGGACCAGGACCAGCTGACCTCCAGTCGCACCGAGTCCTCCAACCAGCACGAGGGCAAGATCAAGCACAGTAAGTTCATGTCGTGAGGTTATACGAGTGTACTCGTATTTATTCTTTCTTTCTGATCGGATGGGTTTGAATGGGAAGTGGCAAAACCTTTCCATTCAAATAATCGAAACTAACGTATTATTTGGCTTTCCTTTCTCTTGTACATTGAGGGAGAGCACAACACACCCGTAATCCATGTATCTAAATATTGGCTAATGTATTCCGCTAAGGGAGTGCTCTCCCTCAATGTAGCTTTTGTTTTGGAGGCTTTGAAATGATGTAATCTGCCAGCTCTGCTCTCTTCTTGTGTTGCTTTGTTTTTGCAGACTCTAGACTAATTCAACACTTTCCAAATCACAATATCTCGATAACCTATCTGTAGTATGTCGTACAGCAGACATGCCACACATGCCACATCCACTGACACAGCACCAAAATCAACACCAAACGAATCCGAATCCGAATCAGAATCAGAATCAGACCAACACCAAGACTATGTTAGCCCTAAGATTAGACCTAAGTTAGCGCTAAGCTGTTTTGTTTGTGCCCCATTCCGAACAACAACTCTCTCTATCTGCCCGATATTTTCGTTTCTTTTCTCCTCCGTTCTTTTCTTCCTCTCGCTCCGAACCGAACCGAACCGAACCAAACCGATCCGACCGTATCGTTGTGTTGTGTTGCAGGCATCATCTACCATGGAGCACAATCAAGCACATCCTCCGACCTGTCGCCAATGTCCGAGCAAAAGTCACTGCCACGACGCGGTCGCTCCAGGTATCATCATCAGCAATATCAGTTTTCCACCAACACCACACCGCGCCACCACAACAGCAACAAAATGAACAACAACACCACAAACACCACTGCCACAAATACAGCCACATCATCCGGCAACTCGAGCAAAATTCTATCTCCACGCGGCGTTGGCGGCGTAGGCGGCGTTGGCGGCAATCTGAAATCCATATCGAGCACCTTCAAATCACAAGACTCCATACAATGCCACATACCCACATTGGTCAAATCGCCATCGATCAGCACACAGCAACAGAAACAGTTCCACAAACAGCAGATAAATAGCCAAAACCACAATCAGAACCATAACCCCAACCAGACCAGTAGTAGTTTGAAGCAACAGCAGCCCCTCTTGATCACGCCCAAGCTCCACCAGCTCGAGTCCGTCCCGTCGTCGTCGATGCATGTGAATGGACAGGAGCTGGTGGGCCTCGATGGCGTCGTCGGTAGTCCCCTAGCATCCGTTGTGCCTGTGACTTGCATGCCCCCATCCTCACAGTTCCGACCCATTCCACACAAGTCCATTATGCCCGCGCATGAGCCACCGCACCACCATCACCATCAGGGCGTCGCCGCCAGCAGCGGCACGCTCCTGAACCCCTCGACGGCCCTGCTCTCGTCCAAGTTCTTTACAGCGCCCACGCTGCCCAAATAGGATACGGCCAATGGGGGGAGTGAATATGTTGGCAGGGAGGCCATGGCCATGGGAATAGGTGGCGGGGGAGTTGGAGGCGGTGGTGGCTTCGGCTACGACAGCGGCGAGATCTCCTGCACCTACATGGATCCCATAGATCAGACATGAGACTTGGCCTACGGTGAGGTGTGTGGACCCGAGGGAGCCCATTAATCTGGCCCGACACACACCACCACCAACACCACAACAACAAAACCACTAAGTCTTAACTGAAAGCTTGAGCTGTGGTTGCTCTTGCACCAACTCTCACCAACCAACTCTGGACTCTCTCTTGTGTCTTGTCCCCCTCCACACGCTTCCACATGCAGGGCTGGCATCCTGCGAACGCTGCATCCGCTCCAGCTGCAGGCCGAGTGCACTCCCGGTGCCTTCCACCACGCCGAGGAGGGGCTGGGCGAGCGCATCGAGCTGGCAGAGGTGGAGTGCGATGTGGACACGATCAAGAAGCTAAAGCTCGGCCAGCGATCCTCGCTCTGGTCGCGCCCCTCCTCCACCACATCCCAGTTGCAGCAGGAGCACCAACAGCAGCAGCAGCAGCAGCAGCAGCACCAGCAGCAGCAGCAGCAACGCCAACAGCAGCAGCCACCACACAAGAGGGCGCATTCCAAGTCGCCGCAACCGCAGCAACAGCAGCCATTGCAACAACCACGCCCACAACAACATTCACCCGCTCCAGGCCAGAAATTGCTTAGCGAGAAATCGGATTACTCGATATCCGTCTGAGACATTGGTAAGATCTGATCCCAGGATCAGCACATAGGATGAGGCCCCGCCCCGAGGCAATAGCAGGAAAAAGTAGGGAATTGAGCTATTCCGCAGCCGGGCCGTTTTTTTGTACATTTTATAATGCATTTTTTATCTTGCCCAGAAACCCTGAACACCCTGAACACCCTTAACTCCCTGAACCCTGAGCCTCCTCTCACCCGGTTGACCCCGTAACCAGTTTGCCAATCCAAAACCTCACGAAACCTCCCTCCCCCCCAGTCACACAATGACACAGTGAAAACTTTCGGACAATCAATATCAAAATTCTGCACAACCATCCAAAACGAGAATACTCAAAAAAAACACATCCCATTGCAATCTCTCTCCTACCCCGTATATAGAGGTCATAATCGTACTCGTAATCGTACTCGTACCCACATACTATATCTAAGTATTAACGATTGTGCATGCCCGTACGTATGTACATACATACTCGTACTCGTACTCATATATACATATATATATATGTATGTATATGGCATGTGTCCAGAACCCAGGTCAGTTGTCGAACTTCCACAAATGTTGTATGTACATACATATACTAACGTAGTCTTTTAAGCATACCTATTAACATCTAATAACAACTAATGCGTGTATCACTCGAAACTGTAACTCAAACTACTAACTGCAAAAAACAAAACAAAAAAAAACAACTCAACTATCGAATACTAGCTTGGTATTGTAGAGGTATCAAATTGTACTCGTACCGTACCCGAACTGTCTTTCATCGTGTGTACTCGTACTCGTACTGAATAATTTTTTTTATAGGCTGCTACTCCTAAGTAGTGCTGTGGGTTTGAGTTTTTAGCGCTAGCATCGGGCGAAAGCGAGGAATCTAAGACATAACTCAGATCTATGCTGTGTACAAATTTATATGTATTGGATATTTACGATTTACGATTATAAATGTATGTGGGTGTGTATGAATGTCTAAATAATGCTCACACATATGTATATGTATGTACGTATGTATATGCACACCGAGATATACAAAAGCGAAGGATCTACTTATCTAGTTGTTAGCGAATCTACATATTGATATATTTTGTAAATAACCAAAAGGCAACCACGTAAATGGACTGACAATGATGCATGCATGACATGACTCCAAGGAAACCAACAGAAATCACAATGAACATGTTAACTAAATGTAGCTCGAAGTACATATGTGCATACGTATGTACATATGGTATATAGTAGGTAACATATGTACAATGTCGAGTGTGTCGCCAGCTGAAGCAGTATTCATATATAATATGACACGATTAGTGTTTCCATTACAGTAACTGTCGTTCGTCTAGTTGTAGATAATTTTTTTTAAAAAGAATGAAAAGAATGTGAAGCGAAAGTAGAATCAAATACCAAATCGTAATCAAACTTTGAAATATTACAAAACACTCAATCAAGAGGCAGCAGCAGTACAGAACGCCAAGTTAAGAGCAGACAAGCAAACTACAAATTAATATAACTCTTAGTTTGTATCGAATAATCCACATAATACGAGTACATAGCTGTATTTTAACTAGTCTACGAATACATAAGAAATCCATATACCAAATACCACATACCACAACCGCAGCCAGAATTAAATAAGGAACAGATCAGACCCCTTTCGGAACCATGTGCCAAAATTTGTTTTTAGACAAAGCTCTCTTAAATTATACAATACCAGTACAATAAATAAGTAAGCCACTAAATCCACAAGACAAACTGAAGATTAAGGTGTTCACTTGAGGCAATTTATGGGGCATTAATTCTTTCGAGTCCCATTTACTGCAGAACAACAGAGATCCAGGGATCCGAGCACTCTTTATTTATATTGCCGCACTAGCGCTGCAGATGTTTAGTCCGTTTTTTATATGAATTTATTTATACGATACAAAGAAATGGTTTATTACATTCACATCGAATTTTACGAATTTATTAAACAACAGCAAAGTCTACAAATCAAAAGAGAAATTACTTAATAGATCACAATCAAAACGAGAAGCAACAACAAACAAAAAAAACCAAATATAATAAGTGAAAAACAATTTTTTTTTTGTTTTACATATAATTAGCACAACAACTACAAAATAAAACTATTAATGTAAAAACCAACAGCATTTAAAAAATATAAGAAATATTTAAAAATAAAATAAAATACCTAGCATTTTTCATGGAAATTAGCAGCAGTATGACCTCATCAGCATAGCCGTGTCTGCGAATGCTAGACATCTGATTTCTAAACATTTACAGAGCAAACTTTGCGATAACGTTAAAAAGTTCCCTATAAAAGCCCTAAGATGCATGATCGCTTTAAGCAGTATAATTAGTCTCTTCAAGGGAATCGGATTAAGCCAGAACAATTCTCTTCGACCTAGATGAAAAATAGTCCAAAAATGTTGCAACCTGCTAGCGGAGCACGTAAGATAACTGCCGATGGAAAGATACCCCTAGCTTGCCGAAATTGCAGCGGACTATTGCCCCGTCACGTACCTGTAGAGGTTGAGGACATGGGATCTCACTTGAAACAACTCCAGAGGGCAAAGACTACACCGGAATCTGGAAGGAACGGAAGATGGAAGAGTTTCACCTCGAGTAACTATCCTCCACAAAGCGATTACTGGTCCAGTTGACTCTATGGTTCTTTTGAGCCAATTACGCTTCGTGATGCCAATGAAAATACACAGAAAAATATTCCATATTATCAACGCATTGGGCAGAATGCGCCTGCTTATACCACTAGTTCCCTCAAAATTGAAAATCGGATTAAAGCTTATATATTTAACAATTTTTATTGCATTTTATTCTTATTTTTTCATAAATACGTATAATGGATAATAATGGATCTCAACCAGGTGCTACTCACACTGAAATCCGAACGGGCAATGCCAAAGGCAAGGCAGTGGGTCGTCGGGGATTTGTGTAGGACCTGGAACGAGAACGACCATGGGATCGGCCACGAGAGTGACCACGGGAGCGACCACGAGAGCGGGAACGATCCCGCTTGCGATCGTCACGGATGTGTCGCCGTCTGGAAGTCCTCTCCTCTGACACAGCAATCAGCTCGCAGTCGCTCACACTGCCATCGCTGTTGGAGCTGGAAAACGAAAGAGTGGCAGGATCATGACCCTTGTGTCGTTTACCTCCAGCAGAATGTCGGTGCTTCGACATTCGGTGCTCCCTCCTATGCTTTCCATCCCGTCGAGATTCCGGAGTAGCTTGTTGCTTCTCCAGTTGCTTCAGCACATCCTGCAGCATTTTCTGGGCTATGTTAGCCTTGCGTATGAGCTTCTCCAGCGCAGGAGTACCCATGTCCTCCACCTCTACGGATGTGGCAGGGGGCTGTTGACCGCTGCAATCTCTGCATTCCTGGGGCGCAGCTTGCTTACTCTCCACGCTATCGGGCTGCGACATTTTCACTCTAGTTTTGACCTGTTTTATTTAGAATACAAGTAGCACCTTACTGTCTACGCTTTCGCTGTTTCTGCTACTGCTGCTGCTGCCGCTTCACTCGAACACAAACAAATGATATCTTGTCCAACGCAGCCCAACCTTTTATACGCGACTTTGGCGCCAAGCTTATCGCGGCTTTTGCTCTGTAAACGTGAGTCTTCGCACGCCCACCGGTCAGGCTGATACTGACGTCATCACGTCTATTTTTATCGCATGATTTCATAGGCATGCGAAAATTTGTTGTTGTTGCTGTAGAATTATCACGTGTTTCGAAATTCGCCTAATTTCGACAGAAACGTAATAGATTACAATTACAATTGAAATAAAAAGTGTACTAAATAATTTTGAAATTAGTTTGGTTTTAAGAATTTAGCAACAGGGGCTCCGGCGGGATATCTTCATGAAACAAACTGTAGTTGAAAGGAAAAATCTTCAAAAAATAAGTCTTCATAAATATCATTACGATGTCTAAAATCCTTCCAATAAGTCTGAGGAAATATGGTCCAGCAGCCTGAAGAGTTCGCAGGACGAAATGGTCCAGCAAATAGAGGTTATAGGCCACAACTCAACGCTCAAGAAGCGTCAAAAAGCTCAGGATTTTTCCGGTAAAACCTAAATAATGTAACCATATTAAGCAATGAATGTGAGACTTTGCTTTAGAAACGACAAAAATAAAATTAACGGAAAAAAGTCAACCACCACTATAGTATACAGTATTCTATATTACGGTTTTAATGAGGGGTTCTGGTGGAGACTCCAAACTGATTCGATTGTACCTATATTTTTATACCCGATACTCAAAATGAGTATTGGGGTATATTAGATTTGTGGTAAAAGTGGATGTGTGTAACGTCCAGAAGGAATCGTTTCCGACCCCATAAAGTATATATATTCTTGATCAGCATCAATAGCCGAGTCGATTGAGCCATGTCTGTCTGTCCGTCTGTCCGTCTGTCCGTCTGTCCGTCCGTCCGTCTGTCCGTCTGTCCGTCTGTCCGTCTGTCCGTCTGTCCGTCCCCTTCAGCGCCTAATGCTCAAAGACTATAAGAGCTAGAGCAACGATGTTTTGGATCCAGACTTCTGTGATATGTCACTGCTCCAAAAATATTTCAAAACTTTGCCCCGCCCACTTCCGCCCCCACAAAGGGCGAAAATCTGTGGCATCCACAATTTTGACGATACGAGAAAACTAAAAACGCAGAATCGTAGAAGATGACTATATCTTCTAGAGTGCAAAATCTGAACCAGATCGTATAATTATTACAGCCAGAATCACGAAAACAATTTCACTCTTTCTCGCTCTGTCTCACTCTAACACACAGGTTTCATGGTCGGTTTTGCCAATTGCAAAATATGAGTTCAAGGATCTCAGAACCTATAAAAGCCAGAGCAACCAAATTTGGTATCCACACTCCTGTGATATCGGACCTTGACCGTTTCCTGTCCAAATTTCGCCACACCCCCTTCCGCCCCCGCAAAGGACGAAAATCTGAGGCAACCACAAATCTCAGAGACTATTAAGGCTAGAGTAACCAAATTTGGTACACACACTCCTTTAAGATGTCACTATAAAACGTATATCTCAGAATTTCGCCCCACCCCCATCCGCCCCCACAAAGGACGAAAATCTGTTGCATCCACAATATTGCAGATTTGAGAAAACTAAAAACGCAGAATCATAGATAATGACCATATCTATTAGATTGTTGAATCTGGATCAGATCAGACCATTTTTTTAGCCAAAAGGAACAAATCAATTTGCAGTGGCTACGCAGCGCCCGACGTCACGCTCAGACTGATTTTCTGTCTCTCTCGCACGCACTCTTTGTCGTGTCGTTAAATATTAGCGGCGTCTGCCGGAGGAGAGCCATACCACTAACCATACAGTATACAGTATACAGTATGCTGTATGGTTAGTGGCCATACTGACTTAGTATCGGGTATAACCTTAGAGTTGCGGTGTCCGCAGCAACTCACAACGTTCCCCCTCGTTTTTTGTGTACATATGTATGTATGTACAAACATATGTACATATATAGTGGAATAACAATACCTTGAATCATTTGAGTCGGTCGTCCCAAAGACGGGAATTGAATAGAGGCAACATCAACCGAGTACTTGCTATGTTGGCCACTTTAAAACCTCCTATTATTATTATTAATTGCGGTTAATTATAATATGTATTTGATAAACATTCCATATACACTTTTTAGAGAACTATATCGGGACAAAAGTATATGGAATTATGGTTTTATTGACTTCTAATATTTTTTTCGTGGTGGCGGATAAAACAAACTTCTCTCGAGAGTTATTTCACATCGGTACAAAAAGAAATGGTTAAACAAACCTCTCTTTGGTTAGGTCCAACCGCTGGGCTATGGAAAAGTATGGACAACAGTCTCCAATGGATGCAATGACCGACTTTACGAAATTCTTCTGTATATTTAGTAGGTATGCAACAAAAATTCTTTACATTTTAAAGCTGTCTCGACGAAATTTTGCAGTTTATTGTATTATTGCAGATATCGAAATTATGTATTAAGGTCGAGATACATACAGGAATTTAATAAAATCAATTAATAGGCTATAACATGTCAATATGAGAAAAGTTTCAAAGCAGCTTGGAAAAGAGAATTATAACATTCATTCAAGAAAAAAAAACCATTTATGTTTCAAAAATATAGTAACCGTGTAGTTACCGTGTAGTTACCGTGTAGTTGCCGTGTAGTTATCGTGTAGTTACCGTGTAGTTACCGTGTAGATACCATGTAAAAACGGGAATTTTGGAGACCTTTTTTGTTTAAAGCATATTTTATAAACAATCCGACAAAAAGGAATCCTTAAAATTTACCCATCTTGTGGTGAATTAGTTCATCCATCTGATAAAGTTATATGTTCAGAGTTGAAGGTCCTAGCTGGCTAGTAATAATAGACCGAATATCAAAATCGAGGAATATGATTTTCGATCACGGACAGGGAGCATTTAACCCATTGCCAACCAGACCAGTAGGTATTAAAGTAAACTCCACGAAACTGATGAAACTTTAAGATTTTCAGTGCAGTTAAGGTGAATGATATCGTGGTAATTTTCTTTTTAATTCAAGAGAAAGGATGATTTACAAGAAGAATTTAAAAACCGTACTTATATACGTTTTAACCCAAGCTGCACATCTGTTTAAATAAAAGGATGGGATAAGTGGGTTAAGCCCACTTATCGGTATATTTTGAAAATGAATCGGTAGAAACAATGAGTTCCATTCCATACTTTCAAATAATGTACTTTAATTACAGTAGTTGGATCGAAAAATAGTGATGATTGGAACTGCATTTTCCGACGATTGAAAAGGTGAACCAACCGGGAAATGTACGTGAATATTGGGGCCATTGGGGAATATTATATTAACACGACATATCCGAACATGCTGTCCGTGGCCCGTTTCAGCCATCATGCTATTCAGGTACTTCCATGTTGTTCAGATTAACGGACTTAGGACTGGACTGGTATTAAAACTTGGTATTGAAAAGTTACTTTAATATGCATTTGCAATACACCACATATAATATATCCATATAAAGTTATTTTTCATGTGGTTGGGTACCCTTTTCCACATGTTCAAATATACGGAACATTAACAGAACCGGTTTTGGTAACTGAAACGGGTTTGAAACGAGAATGGACGGAATTTTTCTTGTCAACCAATGAAAATAGTCAAAAATATTTGTCAAACCGGCGCTTAAAAAAATCGTTAGCGGTTTCAAAAATGTTTTTTCAAAACATGTTGCAGCAGCAGCATGTTTTAACGTAACTACTTACGTTTTACCGTTTGCAACATTCAATTCGAATGGGCCAGACACATGTGCGGAGAAATCGAGCAGCACATCCCTCAACATTTTGCAAACCCTGAGATATTATGGAATTGTGAAAATGTTGTTTATCCCAAGCTCCACTATATGCAGTAACTAGACAGTCTCTGTTTTAAACCTACATATATAAAAAAAAGTTTGCAGTCTATGGTTTTCTTATAGAGACCAAGAATAGGTATCGGGATCGCTATATAGACTCACGAAACTAATCATATGCCTAAATAGGTGTCCAAAATGTCAACCTGAGAAAAGTCATTAGCTATGTTTCAAATCAGCTTGGAAAACAGAATTTTAATGTCAATTAGATGAAATAGGGTATAAAAATGTCCATACTCATAGCGAATACCTGTTGACCAGCAACAGACACGTAACAATCCATACTCACTACGTTTTATTCTAGACACACTTACGTTTTGCGCTTGACCTTTTATTGCTTCAACCTTATTTTAGACACAATCCAAGAAAAAGGAGTCATTAAAACTAGCCAATCTTGTAGAAAATTGAATTTTCAATCGCATATAATTAAGAATTAAGAGCTTAAATCTTTATCTAACTACCAATACTTGACCGAATATCAAAATCGAGGAATTTGAATTCCGATCATGGACAGAAACGATTAACCCATTGTGGACCAGAGTGTATTACTTTCCACGAAAGTTGTTAATTTGAAGAATTTTAGCGCAGTTCTGGTGAAAGACATCGTGATAATTCATTTTTTAAGTAAAGAGAAAGTATGTATCTGCGAGAAGAACTTGTAAACTGTATTATTTTCCGCCGTTTACCACAAGTTGTTGAACTGCTTAAATAGAGGGGGCTGAGTGGGCTAAGTTTATTAGTGAGACCCTGTCTGTGAGATCGTGGTCACACTGCTGCTGTTTCGACTCCCACAAAAGCGCATCGGCGGGCGCTCAAAAAGTTAAAATAATAATAAACAATATACCAAGTAGCTAATAACGAGTGCCGCGGGAAACGTGCAGTGCGAATAAGATGAGCCCACGCAAAATTAACCGCCCGAACAGATGAAATCGAGAGTAGCGTCCTCGTCGGCGTCGCAAATATTGTGCTTTGAACATGAAAACGAGTGCTAAAAATATAAAACAACAACAATTGGCACTGCGTAGAAAAGCCAATTAAATAATAGAGCATCCGTTGTCTGGTTTTAAAGCGAAAGGAAAAAACCCCTGATATTTGCGAAAAACTCAATATTAAACCAGCTGCTTGTCGCGCGTGCCACCCTTTTGACGTCACAGCGCCGTCAGCTGCAGAACAAACTCTTCCACGGGTGGTGGTGCACCATGACGTACCAGTGACGCGCAGCTCACCTACCCTACTACCCCAATAGTACCTGAATATAGAGTGCATTAGTCGCAATGGATAGTTCTATGTACTACGCAAAGGACAATAATGTGGCCAACACCACAGAGGCGGCAGCGTTCATGGAGGCCGTCGCCACGACGGTCAGGGCCAATGCCACGCCACGCGTCGACGATGGCGGTGTATCCATGAACAATTTCTATCCGGCATTGGTTCAGTGTTTTGGCATCATCATATGCGGGTTAGTAGACGAGTCACATGAGAGTACGCGTGGGCAGATGATAAGATTATAGAAATCGATAGTGCTGCTGTCATTGCTCTTGCATCCCCCTCAAAGGTCAGGGTTCAGCTGTGGAGGTGTGTGGGTGGCTGACCTTTCCTTTATACATTCGCCCCCTGATATGGGGTCTCAAAGTTCATATAGATAGTTGCCCCCCTCCCAACTCTACACGCTTCCCACGCAGTGGCTCCGTGACGCTCTTTTCCCCTTATCAGAGCGCGTACGTGCCGCAAAGGAAAGTTCTCCATTGAGGGTCCATTATGTCCCGCCATTCAATTTCTCTGATTTGCCCATTTATTGCCCCTCTTTCGCCACTTATCTAGTGCCCACTCGCATTTAATCTTCTGCCAAACTGCTGTCTCATGATCCAATTCGATTCGTTTGTTATTCCAAATAAACTCCAGACACACGCAAAAAATGGTTGAACAATCAGTTAAATGAGTGTCTGTTATTTTTAAAATGTTTGTATGTACTTTTTTTGGGAACATGAGATATGGGGCTGTGCAAAATGTTGCATATCCCAGGCATTATTTGTAGATAAAAGTGAAATGGAGCTTACGGGTGTTCTGTGGAATTTTTTGTTTTGCAGCTTTCTTTTAAAAAAAAAAGATATTAAATTACCCAGCGAAAGAGATCTGAATGATGATATGAGGACTCCTACCTAACCAAAGGCTTGGTTAAACAGCGGCATTTTGTTTTATATCGGGGGGGGGGTCTATATATCCTACCTTCCGTACCCAAAATACCCAAAAAACGGAGACCGCTTTTCCAATTTTCCCTCACTCAGAGTTTTTCATAATTTTGCCAGCCCCATTCCCTGGTTTTATAGCTTTGCAACGGACTGTAGCCCTTGTTTATTGTCTTGTTTTTTTTCGTCTTGTAATTTATGCTGCCTGTTCTTTGTGGAATTTCTGATTTATTGCAAAAAACGACAGTAGGGTTTTTCTTAATAACAAAATTTCCGTTGAGTCATTGAAGTAGAAATCGGATTTAGATATTTTTATGTAGATTCTTGCATTACTTCCCACTGTACAACACAAAAATCTGAACCAATTTGGCAACGTTTGTGGTCGCAATTTTCCGGGGAAATTGCCATGAAGCCATGAAGCCATGAAATTGTTGAACAGAGTGCCTGCCGCTCACTCGCCGCGGGAACAACCTATGGAAATCGGAAATCGGAAATCTCCCACGGGTGGTCTCTTGTTATATCTTGATATATGCATCTGAGCCGAAACCTAATTGCCTCTTAAACAATAATCGAAAGTAAAAACGTTTAGAGAGTGCGGGGAAAAAAACACACACGTAAAAATACGGTAGAGAGAGAGTCAACAAAACAATTACAAAAATGACCTTGCCAAACGGTGCAGCATTCAGCGGGCAGCAGACAGTAGCAGCAGCACCTGAGGCAACATCTATCTAATATCGTATCTATTGTGTTGTACTTATTTAGATTATGCAAGCACCTATTGCCGTATTTGACTGCCAATTACTGGCGATATGCATGCTACACCCCCAGCGTAGACATTCATTCAAATGCATTCCTACTGTTCAATCAAATAATTATAGAATAGATATTGCACTCCCCCAAGTGGGGGTTCGGTTCGGTTCGGTAATATCATTTTATTTTATTACTCAAAAGTTCTCCCGTCATCCGCCGAAAATGTCGTACGGAGCGCCTCACGACTCCACAGACGCCCTGTAAGGGCTTTAATTCCTACAAAAAATTGATTAAATGATGAAAGAACACAGTCTATCTCTAAATATAAATAAAGGCTGTTCGGAGTTAGAGCTAACAATCTTTATTATTACAATCTCTAAGCTCTTTAGATTGAATATCCCAATATTTGCACTCCCAACTCTGTGATCTCTGGAACAGATATGTATTTCAAACAGTAGCGCATCAATTCAAGTTTTATTTATATTTATTTCGTGTGGCTCGTAATGCAGTTAAAATGTATTTATTTTACGACCATTATCAGATTGAAATTATACTTTACTCTTTTATTTGGTGGAACGTTGCGTTCGTATTTTGATTCATTCGGTGTTAATTGGCGCTCTCACCGTTTCGAATTGATGGATTTCCTTTCTAGACTTTCGATCGGGCTACAGGCTGATAAGCTTAGGTAGTAATTACCGGAATATACTTCCCACCCCAGAGCTGCCGCTGCCGCTGCTGCTGCTGCCACTTTAGCTTACATATACGGAATACTATATAATGTATAATTTGTATGGCATATTCCATATGGGTTAAAGCAATTCTAATCTAGAAGCACACGCAGCTGTTTCTTCTGTTGGCTGGGGGGAAGCTGGCGGTTTCTAGAGAGTTGCCTAACAGGTCGGTCGCCAGAGAGAATTTCATGTATTTCATGCCAGGGAATATCTTGTCACACCTCTTTAACACTGCGACTGAGGCGCGGCACGTACTTAGGGCGATTGCCACTCTACTAGTTCTCCATTTCAAAAGGTTTTTCTGTTTCTAATCCCTCAGTTTAGGGAAACCTTAACCGCACAGAACCTTTCTGTTTACTGCAGGTAGTAACCTCCATGATCGGCCCACTATATCTAGACCAGGTATCGGTTGTGTTCAGGACAGTCAGTTCCCTACAGTCCAGCGGAGTAGTCGAATACATTGAATAAACCATTCCCGGGACTGGGAGACCTAGTAGACCTAGAAACGTTGGTTCTGCAAGGGCATCCCCAGGGTCTTCCAGTTAAACCAAACCCGGCAACTCTTTCCGATTTCTGTTGCTGCGTTACTCCAAAACACTTGTAGCGCGCCCTCTAGATAAATGGGTAAATAAGGAAATGCTATTTACCTTTACTTTTGTTGTGTTCCCAAGACCTTAAAGTTATTTTTTGTGATGAATGTGCTTGTTCAAGAACATCTGTTGAAACGTATATTTATAGCTTTCTTTCATGGAAAGAAATCTCTCGCTAGGGCTTTATAGATTTTCAACGTGAATGGAATCTAGGGTACAGTTTGGACTATTTGATCTATGCCTTTGCAAGACACACTTCCTTATCAATAATGTTTACACTTTGTAGCAGATAGGAATACACAATTGTCGCGAGTATTTCTGGAATTCCAAAGAATGCCAAAAATGTATGACACATCGGGGAGTTCACAGACACATAGCGAAAGAGATCTCCTATCTCTTGAGCATCTTCCAGAGACAAACAGAGACATTATTCCGGTTCTTCCCAGCAGCCATAAACTCAAGCAAAGTAGCGATTTGTGGAGCTGCAGTAAATTAGCATTGAGTCATGCCCCGTGGAGGCCGCATTCGGGGAAGTACTCCGCATACTCCAGTTTGCCCAGACAGACAGATGTCCGAAGCACAGGGGAAGTTCATTTTGGTGTGACAGAAATACAGATTTTTACCTGAGAAACGTTTACAAATCGTTTGTTAGCCAAGAGACCAGACGCCGCCGAAATCGAAACTGGTTTACAAGCCGGATCACGTGTGGTGTGTCTGGTGATTGCTTTATATACAAATAAATAAATTAATATGTATATGCATCAGAGTTTCCGCCTTTCCGGCGGGGGGACTTGCTTAACAACTGCCTCGGGGGAAGGGAGGGCGTGGCCAGACACGCCTTTACAAGCCGCACAACAAATTGATTAATAAATGTTCTCTTTTTTGATTGCAGTTACATTGCCGGACGCTTCAAGATCATCAGCAATGCGGAAACCAAGGGACTGGGCACCTTTGTGGGCACCTTTGCCCTGCCCTCGCTCATCTTCCTGTCGCTGGTGGAACTCAACTGGAGTGCCGTCAACTGGAGCTTCCTCCTGGCGATGCTGGTGTCCAAGGCGATTGTCTTCTTTTCGGTGCTGATCATTTCCCTGCTGGTGGCGAGGCCGCTCAACTATGCCCGCGGCGGTTTGATGGCCATTTTCTGTACGCAGAGCAATGATTTTGCCATCGGCTATCCCATAGGTGGGTTTCATCATCATCTGTTCAATGCATCTTCTATGATTAAATCCATATGTGTACCCCCAGTTATGGCTCTGTACAAGGATGTGCATCCGGAATATGCCGCGTATCTGTATTTGATGGCACCCATTTCGCTGGCCATACTCAATCCCATTGGTTTGGTGCTCATGGAGATCTCCAAGATAATCAAGAACAAGGAGGAGGCGGTAAGAACTCTACAGTGGAGCATCTCTGTGCTCAGATATCTAATCCTTTGCCCCTCCTTTTGGCAGACCCGCAATCCCCCACTGTGTCCGGAAACCTGTCCAGCCGAGCAAATGGCCAAACGGAATAGATGCTTCGGCGACCGTGCCATACTGGTGTTCAACACCATTGTGGCACTGTTCTTCAATCCACTGCTGTTGATGACCCTGCTGGGCGTGGCCGGGGGATTTCTTTTCCCCCATGGCCTGCCCGAAATGGTATCCAGCACGCTGCGCACGCTCGGACAGAGCTTCTCGGCCACTGCCTTGTTTCTGCTCGGCCTGAAGATTGTCGGTGGCCGGGGAACAGAGAACAAGAGCATTGGGTTCCTATTGCCTGGCGTCCTCATTCTAGTCAAGATGTGAGTTGGTGTTTATAGCGCTTTATGTTTCGATATTAATGGCATCTTCTTTGCATATAGATTGGTGCTGCCCTTGGTGATCCGGCAGACGGTGAACATCATGCAGGCGGGCCAGAACTTCAATGACACCACGGAGCTGAGCACTTTCGGCTTTCTCTATGGCACCTTTCCCGCTGCCCCGGGCGCCTTTGTCATTGCCACGCAGTACAACATGGAAGTGGAATTGGTAAAGCGTACAACATTAATTGGTTGACACCGTTTTCAATACCCTTTGTGCTCGTAGGTTGCTCGCAGTATGGTCTTTTGCACGTTCATCTCAGCGCCTCTCATGTTCATATCCGCCAAAATGATATCGCTGACGAATCTAAAGCCTCTGGATTATCTGCACGAGCTGGACGCCTTCTCGTTTGACATTAGCATTGCCGGGGCAGCCGCCTGCTGCTGCATGCTGACCCTGATGATTGTCACAAAGCGCTTTAAGCGCATGCCGCAGCGAATTACCTTCTGTCTGGTGCTGTCTCAGGTGAGGGATTACTGCTGCTGCTCTCCCAGGATCTGTTATTAGCTCATGTTCTCTGTAGCTCATGTGCTGCATTGGGGTTATACTGTGGTCCAAGATGGAGCATGTGCCACGCTGGCCCTTGTATCTGCAGTTCTTTTTGTTCAACATTGGCACCTACAGCACTCGCCTGTGGACGGCTCTGTTGGCCATCTCCCTGCTCTTTCTGCAGTGCCGCAGCCTGTGTTTTGTGCTCAAAATGTGGCCCTATATGGTAATCAATTGATTTTCACTCATCTCTTGCTATTTATTAATCAGAGTCTGGCTTTTATTTTAGTTGGTGTTCGCTTGGGGCGTGCCGGCCATAATTTCGGGTCTCCTGGTGGCCTTCGACTCGAATGTGATGTCGGGAGAGAAACATCATCCCAGCTTTCAATATGGAAATGCTCAGGCAGCCATCGCTGTTTTTATGCTAGTCATGTGCTTTATAGGTCAGTCCTCAGGGCATTATTTAGACACTTTTGGTTTCCCCCCGCCGCCAACAACGTGATGATAAAACTATATACATTGAAAAGTTAATAACAATCTGTCGTGGCCCTCTTCTAGGGATATATTCCACCCACCTTTTGAGCGCTGGGTGAAATTTGTTTAAACACAAGAGTGAAAGAATGTAGGAAAATATTTTCTGCATGGTGTATCTGAAGTTTTGGTTTGAAATTTGTTTCATTTTTCATCGTTGCCAAAACGAGAGACACAACATCCAGCAAATGTTGTTCCTGATTTCATTCTGGGTGTTTAAATATTTTTCCCAGCCTTAAAAGTGGGTAGTTGATACCCTCCTACTTGGCCCCAGGAATAAGTTATATTTCCTTGGCAATAGGAAAGAGGCCTGGCAGTTGTTACCACAATACGTGATGCATGTAAAGTTTTCAATCTGATTTGGCTGTTGTAAAATATTTTATTTTATCTTAATTTGAAGAATTTTGTAAAGTTAGATTTTCTTAAATATTTTGCAGTGACTGTCGGTTGCTTGGTGCTGCATCAGCGGTACAAGAAACGCTACGAGAAGTTCATGACCTATTCACGTGAGCTGTCGAATCCAGAGTCGGGTACGCACTTCGATATCCCTTCACTGTCACAAATTCCACAACTTTAATCGAATTTTCTTACCCCAGAATCTTCAGATTTGCATTCGACCATATCCACAACCAATTTGCTGAGCCACACAGATCGAACCTCGCTAAGGCAGAGCGTGCGCACTGCTTCATATTCGTCCTCGTCGGACGATGATGAAATGATACCCACAGCCGCGGGAGTGCCAGCGAACAGAGCCAATAGCAGTGGAGGCTGTGGCTCGGGCAATGGCAATTGCTGTTCCGGAGGAAGTGCCGTGACGACCCCAACAACAACCAGCACTGTGGTGGTCGACATTGAGGATCTGTTGAGTCGCAATCGTCAGCGACCGAATGCTGTTAATCCCAAAGATCTGGACAAAATCGAAACCGAACCAGCCACAACAGAAGAGTATGTTGCATAGTATTCTGTACATTTCCAATGAAAAGGTCTTACGGTGTTGTTTTCCTTGAAGGATACGCAGTCACATGTGCAGCAGTTCGTTCAACTGCGGACCGAGCACTTCGCGACAAAGCTGTCAGACGATTATCGAACGGTATGAGGATCAGACACGACGCGGACTCGAACCGCTGGAGCAAACAAGCGACTCGGACGAGCATCAGACGCTGAAGCACACCGTCCTGCTGATTGCTCTGCTGTGCTCCATGTTTGTGGGCCTGGCCGTGTCCATTTGGACATTGGTGATGGAGGGCATGTCGGGCATCTATCTGGAGCTGAGTTTCCTCGACGCTTTCCTCAATTTCGGCCAGGGTCTCATCGTCTTGGCTGTGTTCATAACGGACATGGGAGAGCTGCTCATGCCAGTGGTCAAGCTCTGGCGGAAGTTATGGTAAGTTACGGGATGGGCGAAAAACCTTTGAGAAAAGCTTTTCATTTGCTTTTGCTTGTCACAGGTATGGAGCGAATGTCGTCAGCCTGCCGCACTGGTCGAATGTTCGTCCCGAAACGAAGACCATTTGCGAACAGTTTCGCAATCATCATTTGGAGAACTGCAAGAAGGACATTGCCAAGGACAGAAGGTGAGGTTTTGTGGCATCATTTAAACATAGCTTGTAGTTAGATTCAAAACAAACTGTAGGATTAGCTGTAGGACATTTTATCAGTAGAGAAATGTGTTTTTTTATTTTTGAAACCCTTTCTGTATTAGAAATTTGAGCAGCGATAGGATTAATCAATTGGAAGATATGTTTGTAGGACATTTTTAATTTGGAAATGTAGGTAAGATCCATTTGCGACCTCCCAGCTCTTGATTAGCGCTCTCTCCCTCTCTATTTCATTCGATATTTGTCAGACAGATCGTAGTACTGCCTTATCTCTGGTTGAACATTTATTAACCTATTCTTGTATGTGTGTTTCCACAGGTGGCGCATTCGTGTCTACCGCAAGGTGTTCTATGGCAGCGAATTTGTCAGCTGGCTCATCGAGGTGGGCCTCTCCAAGGACCGCATGGAGGCGGTGCACTATGCCCGGCATCTGGTCGACGGCCGGGTACTGCGCCACATCAACAACGTCTATCATTTCGAGGATAAGCTGCTGCTCTACAACTTTTGCAGTCGCATCTAAAAGGCAAAGCCACAAAAAGATGAAGCAACTACGCCAAATTTAGTTCGATTTTTGTTTAGTTTTCTGTATGTTTTGTAGGTAATTTTGTCTGCTGTGATTGTATGCGAGCCCCGCACACACACGTGCCCACACACATCACAGCCTAGTGTGTGTGGGCGGGCGTGTGACAGAGAGAGAGCGTAAGAGAAGAAGAGAGGAAGAGCTAGTGAAATGTTTATAATGTCCAAGTTTTTTTTTTTATGTTTATTCACTAAGTAGCTGCCTCGGGTCGCCCAGCTCGAGCTATATGTAGGCTATATAGTGCAATATAGAATACAGAATGACGTAGCGGAGGAAGAAGTATACAGATACGAGAAGAAAGTTTCCTAATCTAAACCCAAAAAGAATAGAAAAACAACGATATCCTTGTCACAAACAAGTGAAAACTGTGCATAAAACGTTTGTGGATGATCACCAAAGCTATAAACGAATCTAATATATATTTAATATTATATACCTATATATATATATACGTACCTGTAGTATAGTGTAAACCCATCCCATGAATAAATACATGTATATATATATATATACGTACCTCGCGTCGTGAGGCGCAAAGAACAAAACATTTACCATGCATTTGTGTCGCATTCAATTTCGATTTCGATTTAAATCTTAATTTGCATTGTATTCCTTTTGGATTTCGGTTGTTATTTTGTTTTTGTTTTTCTTTCGCTATCCCCGTATCTTTGGGTTTTGCCATTTTTGTTCGGCTTTTGGTCTTGCACGCGTCGCACAATTTGCGTCTGCGTGTTGGAAATATCAATCGAATCTGTTCTGTCTGTCGATTCCGGACACCGCGGCAGCTCTATTAATTGTTCCCCCAACTTAATATTCAATGGACGATCCATAGAGGCCATTTTTTGGTATGCGCCTGACTACCATAAAACACTCGCGGAGGAGAGAAGTCGCCAGTCTTCTCTGGGACAGATTTTTCTTTATTCAACTGCAAGTTCTTGTCTGTTTGTCATGCAAAATAGTTGCAGAATGCAAGTTTTATTGAATCTGTTCGATCCAGGCTCAAACATACTGACCGATTTTGGTGTGATGTTTGTGCACAAGCTCCGTCACAGGATTGTTGACACCCAACCTCTCCCTGGACAGATGTATTTTAATGGACCCACCCCCATTTAGGGCTTTTCGGCTTTTCCGCTTACCTTTCCGTGGGTCGAACTGCGTTCAGCCTGGTCATATTTAGATTTATGGCACAACTAATAATATCCTTTGCCATATACCCTAAAAATGACTTACATAAATCTTCAATCGGTTTTCTTTTTGTCTTCCCCTATTTCCTTTGATGCTGATATCCTAATCTATAGCTGATGCAATCCACACCACAACACACTGTCTTACAAGAGTCTCAGTGCAGCTGTGACTCAGCCGGGGTTCGAGGCAACTGATCCCCCGATTGCATTTCTAATCATTAATGGGGGAAACCTGCAGTTATCTGCAATGAAACCATGTGAATTCAATGAAGTCACTAGGTCTGGCCCTCCGTGGGGAACTCGTTCAACTCATTTCGGCTATGGCTTCTCATTGTAAGAAGTACAGATATCAATTGCAAGTTCTAATTGCAGCAACTGCGCAACCAATGAGTCATTATGATTGGCCATTATCCACAGGGGGATGTGTTATAAGGCTCGGAGAAAGGGAGCGCTCGAATCGAGAATTCACTATAAAAAAAAGGAGTGGAACTATTTTATAAGATCTCCTTCCTTCATTAATCTTCCTTAAATATTTTGCCATTTAGTAATAATCATAGCTATAGATAGAATGAAGAGAGAGAATTTCATATTCGTTGATGAATCGTGTACTATATCTTCTGTTTATTCTGTAATTTTCTGTAAGTCACTATCACGGCAAACATTTACAGAAATGTTACATATGTATAAGTGGTATGTACAACCAGGTACAAGGTATATTTCTGTAGCTCTCCTCATGACCTTATCTAAGAGTATATTGACAAGTGAAACATCCACCGCGCGAATATAATCCCTACAACTCTCTCGTAAATTGCCGCTCGAAAGTCATATTCGAAAGAGACACCCACTCGAGAGGTGTTACAGAAGAAGCAGAGAATACCTAGAATCAGGGGAATCATCCATGACCTCATTCGTCCGCCCTCAAGTGTTCCATACACACAATTCTGACCCATTTATCAGCCGCTTTATGTCGCAGTCGTACAAATAGAACGTTATTATTTATTAATTTAATTTTGCAAAACGCACAGAACTTAGTCTCTGTCTCCTGGGGGTTAGAGGTCAGTCAACCCTTGAGCCGACCAAAAAGCAATTGTCATTTGTCTCAACGGAACCCAAACCGATGGACTCCAGAGGGGAAAGGGACAAAATATATGGGCTGCTGTCGCCCTCGGCATCCAATTTCGGGCCTCACAATTAATAGACACCAAACAAATTTGTTGCGAAGGATAACAGGGATACTAAGGGATAGCAAATTCAGGGAAAACATTGCGGTTTTTTGTTGCCTTTCGGCCGGAATTAACTAAAAATAGTCCGAGCAGCATGACGTCCAAGAGGATGGATGGAGGGATGTGGAGAACCAATTCGCCGGCAGGACGACGTCAGCATCCCACACTCACTGACTGCCTGACTCATTAATTCTCCCTCTAGTTGACCCGGAAAACCGCCTCTAGCCACAGTCTGAGGGTCTCCCTCTCTTCCTCTCGATGCAGCATTAAGTTTCCAGTTGCGCATACGTCGCGTTGTACCTCCCAAAATGGATCTTGACATTGGCCATATGACGATTTGGGGCTTCCGCTTCGGTTCGGCGCATGGATAATATCTCGATAAAAATGCGAATTGTATGCGCGAGACTTTGATCTTAAATCGAAAATTACACAATTTAATTTTTGGCGAAATCTCTCAATTTGATTTTGATGCGAATTATTAGTTCGATTTTGTTGTTTTTATTGGATTTATTTACGCCACCGGAATCCATAAAGTTCGCTGCAAAATTACACGAGAAATTACAAAACCGAAAAAATCTTAATTGTTAATTTTAGTGGCCCGTCGAACGGACGGCAACCCGAAACACCTTCAAGCAGACAGCAAATTGAATGCTCTTTCATTTTAGAGCTGAGATCTGGAATACGTTTTTTGAAAGTTTCATCCTATTTCTGGAACCTTTAAAAATAAAAAAAGATCTTGGTACATGTGCATTAATTATAATAAATGTTTCCAGCAGCTATTCGAAACGATATTCCAAACCGATTTGACATTATCCTTTTCTATAAAATATGTAGAAGGAACTTTTCTTAAAGAAATCTCCCAGAGATTCTTTTAATCGTTATACATATAAATTAATTCTTTTGTATGACATCGTACATACGGAATTTCCGATATTCCTCATCGCCGATATGTACATCATCCAAGTACCAGCGATTCAAGTGATTCAGATTCGAATAGGTGGAATGGGTACGATAAGGTTCGGTTTTCTAAACGGTTTGTAGACGATGAGAGTGCCAGTATGACGCTTGGGAATGTTGTAGGGTATACGCGTAAAGCAATAAAATTTTACTTGCTATTTTGACCGTACACACACGTAAATAGACGTTGGCACGAGCTGTGCATTTTCGATGGGGTGGCTCGCTCTGTCAGTGGGGTGCATGAGGGGTGGACCACCTAGAGCGCCAGCCCGAACAACACCAAGCACGAGCCATACAGCCCGGCCCGGCCCGGCCCGATCCGATCCGATCCAGAGCCGAGTGTTTGCCAACTGTTGAGCGGTCACAGCCGCAGCAGCATAGCATTAAGGTACCTTCTCCAGCACCCACCCACCCATATAGCAATCTACCCATCCAGCAATACAGCTTTCAGCAGAGCCTACAACAGCAGCCGGCAGCACTGGCACTGGCACTAGCAGAGGCAGAAGCAGAGCCGAGTGCTTTGCGGGACAGTCATTCTAATTCGACGCCTTGCTGACTGCAGACGCACTCGGAACCACGGAATCGGAGTGGGAATCGGAATAGTATTGAATAGTATTTGAATTTGGGATCGAAACGGGCTGCGGATCGGACGGCTAGACAGACGCATTTGGCCAAGTGTCGCGCGGTGCCAGGCCACACTCCAATCTCTAATGAAGCAGTGTTTTAGCTAAATTTTTTTAATTTAGTTCCAATTTGGCTATTGAAACGAGTTTCCAGCTGTGCTTGCCCCCTCTCCGGAGTGTGTATTTTTTTGTGTGTGCGTGTGTTGTGGCAGGCTCATTTGTGAAAAACTTAATTTGCGGCTCTGTGGCAAGACACATTTTCACCTGAATTGCAATCAAGTGCAATTATCAAACGAACAGCGAACAAAACAAACATTGAGATAACCGCCATGTCTGCGGAAACATCAAACACCACTCCGCTGCTGGACCTGCTGATCGGCAGCACCAGCAGCACCATCAGCCCCACTGCTGCACCGCCAGCAAGGGCTCTCTATGCGAATCGGAACCGTTTGATCTTCAGCCTCATAATCATGGGTCTGGGGGTGTTCGGAAATTCTCTGGCTCTCGTTATTTTGGCGCGCAAAAAGCACAACAAGAACAGCAAATACACTCTCATGTTGCGGTAAGTGCATTTTTACACTGCTCAGGAAAATGGGTGTAAGCAAATAAATCAAAAAAGCAGGAAGTTTTTACAGTTGACATACGGGCTTTCAAAATGCCTTTGGGTGTCGGTGCAAATTATCCAGAAATTATTACCCTTATGCCCCTATTTAAATTCTCTTAAGTGACTTTCCATGGTATATATCTTTATTTAATGTGGCACTTTTTTTTCTCAGTGTATGCAGTAAATCTATTAGCTTTATGTTTGCCACTGTTTGCGGCCAGTTCATGGCTGTGGTGTGAGTTTATTCAACCCGTGCTCTGCTCTTGGGGCTCCAGCCACTAGTAGCCTATGCGGGCCCCGATTTACATATTCCGAATTGTTTTGCTGGATTTTCCATTAGGTTTTTCGCTCTGCTCGGATCAACTGCGTATCTTATCACTGACGGGATGGAATTTGGCCATTTGTTTCTGTGGATTTCCTTGTTGTCCCTCATTAGACGGAGTCTGTTTTGAGTGGGCTTATCTGGGCTGGTGATGGGGGGAACATGCGCCTTGTTCATTCAGTTTCAAATTCAGCTCACTTTTACAACAAAGTTCCTTGAAATTTATTCCAATTTATAGCTCATTTATCAGCATAAGCGACCACCCAACCAGATTCACTGAACACGCTTTCGTTTCCTCTTGGTTTTTTTTTTGCGCTGATACAGCAGTGCGTATGCGTAATATGCGCAAATTGCTTGCGACAGCAATAAAACAAATTCCACTCCAGAGAAAACCCCTGCACTTGAGGACTCCTTACGGTAGAGCCCTTTGATCTTTAATTTGATTGATGGAACGCGCCCAGTGATTGACACTTGAGCCTTGTCGACAAATCAGACCCAATCCAAATGACATCAGCAAGAAAACGCCGTGGGTGGGGATGGGGATGAGTATGGGGAATGGGAATGGGAACGGTATTCCCCCCCTGGAATACAGCGTTCACATTACATCACATAAACAAATAATGATTTTGCTCATTGCAGTTCCGCTAAAAACATTTCGCATTTCTCATTTGGAAATTGGAAATTTCGAACATTTTCAACTTACGCCCTCTAATGAACAGTTCCGTTCAGCCGCTCCCACTGAAACTTTTACAGCACATAAATCTCTATTTTTGATCGTTTTATTGGTACATTTATATATATAGTATATGTACCAGTACATACTGTATCTATATACGACTTTACTCTCAGATAGGAGGAGGCATGCCTATGCCTAACAATTAGCCGAACCTTTGGCTATTTACAGTCCCCCCCCCTAGAATATTTATTCTATGTTATGGGGAATGCACTATTTATTATTAACTCTGCGACAGAGACAGATGATTTTTCCATGTCACAGCTCAAAATAAACAAAGAAATTCAAACTTTTGTTAGCTTTTATAATCTTAAAATAAAGTGTACGGAAAGAGGGATTATCTGAGCGAAGAATATACGAAATTGATCAAAAATACAACTAGTATGAATGTTTTCTTTGGAATATAAATGCAAGCTTAGGTATCAATGAAGTTAAGAAATGTGCCTGAGAAGTGTGGAGAAGATAGTTAAGTTTCATAAGACTGAATCATTTAGAACCCTCCATAAAGATCTGAAACTGTCTAGTCTTTATCAACTGATATACTGATAGGTGTATGGGTCTCAATTACTTCCTTCCTGTCATTGCGATAAAATATACTGCGTGTACTTTTATTGGGTAAAAGAAAGACAATTATTTCATTTATTTATATTTGAGGCACTAAAATCTCCAACGCGATCTAAACACACGCTACTCTTTTAAGTGGCACTTTTTGCAAATTCAAATTTCCTCTATAAAGATCATTAATCGTAATTTATGGTTATTTAATGCAAAATAAATTGTCCGATTATGCTTTTCTCTTTGGTGGGTATCCATTGATCCTGGTTTGAGAGTCTCGTCACGTCTGCTGCACCCAAAAATGGTTTGCGTTTTGCTGTACAGCTGCCATATGGGGCATAGCTTGAAAGGTTTCCGTCTTATCAGAGTGGTAATTGATTGGAAATAAAACAGGTCTTCGACTAGCTGCAATCTTATCCCCAAAATCTCTCACTATTCCAGCTGCCTGGCCACCAACAATCTAGTGGCTCTGCTGGGAATGCTGACCACCTCGCTTCTGAAGTACAACATGCACAAGGAGGGGGTTCAATCCGACATGCGGCTGGACTGTGTGGGGCATGTGGTGTGGCGCTTCTTTGGCCTCAGTTCCGGATGCATTGCAGCCGTAATGGCCGCTGAACGTTGGATGGCCCTGGCCCGACCCTTTATCTACCACAAGGTGCGATAGGGTCTCTTTTTGTAGACCCATCATATATCAATAAATTCTCTCCCACAGCACATCACCTATGAGCTGATCCGGAAGAGCATCAATAGCATTGTGATTGCGGCCTTGATCATCACGTTCCTGCCCCTTGTGGGCTTCGGAGCCTACATCGACGAGTCGAATCCGGACAGAATGAAGTGCATACGATACCGTGATGCCGAGGGCTTCTGGAACAAGGCATATGCTGTGGTATTCATGGTCTTTGGTAATGTAACATCGTAATCCCCTTCGGTTAAAGACCTGCTAATTGAATCTCCTCCTTCAGGCACGCTTCTGTGCATCGTGATCGTGACCTGTAACCTGTTCGTGGCCCACACCCTTCTCTGCGTGATCGGTAAGAGTCGCACGGCCAAGCGGCACATGCACTACGATCTGGTGCGGGACAAGGCCAGCATGCAGAGTATCGACCCGGAGAGCAGCAGTGGCACCACCCTCTACCAGACGCAGTACAGCACTGGAAGCGGAACCGGCAGCAACCACAGTGCTCCCCACAGGCAATCATCCCGACAGTTCCAGCACAGTGTCAGCGTAACGATGGCGGGCACAGAATCCTCGCCGGTGGAGATCAAGTTTGCCAAGCTGATGGCCTTTCTGAGCATCTCGTTTGTCATCTGCTGGATGCCACAGATGGTAGGTGGCCCTCTCTGTTTAGTCCACCTTTCAGGAAATAAACCATTTCCCCTCCATAGATTGCCATACCCTTGGCCATTGCCCCGGACCGAGTTGACAAGAAAAACGTGTTCTTTCTCATTGCGGATGTCCTCACGGCCCTGCACTTCACATCGGATCCGTACATCTATGTGCTGAGTCGCTCCAAGTCCATCAACTGGTCCCTGCTGAGCTGCGTCAAGCGCTGGCGCGGCGGCTGGCGCCAGGGCGGACTACGGCGCTCCCAGAGCGATCAGAGCCGGATGCGCACCACCATGACGGAGGCGAATACTCTCGACTGTAACTTCAACTAAGTCTCGAACTCCAGCATTATTTCTGCACCCAAGTACTTAACTGTAAAGCTATGTCCTGTGTGTTTTTTTTTATATTCATTTATTTTTCTCTATGATATACTGTACAATTACTAGTAAAATTATAGTGGGGTAACGGACAGGGGTACTGTTGGGACAAGGGGCCCCGCGCACTGCGGTACTGCAGTCTGCTTCCTCCGCGTTCTCCCCAGGGACCTGAGCGTTCGCATCACTCTAGAGGCCCTAGACCCTGTGTCAGTCGCTCGTGGTCAAACCTATTGCAGTCGAAGAGGACGTGTCACGCGTCCTCCTCCTTACCGAAGCGTTTGAGGCAGCTGCAGAAGCAGCCAAGTCCCAGAAGGCTATGCATGAAATGAGGCTGTGGTTGCCCTTGGTTGAGTTGTCCCACCGGGTCTGCCATGTGTCAATGTTGCTCCTGCTGGCGGTGTCCTTTAACTCGGCTTTAGTACGTACCTCAGCTACCTTGTCCTGCATGGCGTCTTCAATCTCCTTCCTCTCCCGTATCAGCTCCCTGAGCGGCGAAGAGCACATCCGACGTCACGACACTCGTCAACAGCTTCCTCATTGACTGCTGCGGTCCTGTGGTATTCAGAAGCATCCTGGATAGCGCTCCTGCAGGACAGGCACGTGTCGATGAGGACTCCTAGATACTTGATAGACCTCTGCGATTGGACCGCCGTCGTTCTTTGGGCCACCAGCTCCAGCTCCGCGACGGTTAGCCATGCCTCTACGGCTCGGACGGACACGGCGGCGAGTTCCTTCGTTACTGTCACTATCGCGACGTCGTCGGAGAAACCTACCAAGCTAAAGTTGGCTGGCATCGGGATCCTTAGGACCCCATCGTACATGGCGTTCCAGAGCAGAGGTCATAAAACGGAGAGCCACCAGTGTTCGATCCCAGTCTGTTCTGTGTGGGTATGTGCGTGTGCGTACTTACGCCATACTCGGCGTGCCCCATACCGCTATGTGTACAACCCCTCCGAAACGGGCCTCTCGAAGGATCCCATACCCGTCTTCTAGTCTTGTAAGCTGTAAATAATATACCTTACCTTTTACGAGTATTACCATATCAAGGCTTTCTCTCTGTGCTCAGATCATCACATAATCTCAGAATATAAAACCGATTTGAACAATACACACAGTATATGTATCTGCATTTTCATAATAAAGTGTCTATTGTATAATTCTTAGAAACTTCAGAATGGACACTAGTTTACAGAAGAGCTGCATGAATATTTTTGAGCAAGAACCATACGCATCAGCAAGATTCGAGTCTGGCAGCGATGTCAGCTTCGTCACGCAAACTGTATGTATTTTCGTTTTGCGTTCTCAGGCCCGAGAGCGATCACCCAGCTACTTTATGCTCTTGAGTTGCAGGCTGAATAAATCTCGAAACTCCAAGAGCACTTTGCCTATACCTTCTATATATATGGTAGGAGAGCTTTTTTACTGTGTGGAAAGACTCGTACCGATACATTTTTCTACCTATTCCGCTGGGAACCGCTGAATCACGAGCATGTATCAGCAGCTGAATCAACGCTTTATAAATCTCTTATAATTGTATACCCATCTAGCCATTTCCTATTTCAATCCGCTGTTGAATCCAGTAGATCCTGGAACCGTAAAGCATAATGATATGGAGATTCCATCCAGATTCCGTTTTCCCATATCCAAGCAAAATCAAATCAAGGGTTTACTTTAAAACTACGTTTGTTTCCTTTTTGTTTATTTTAAAATTTATATGATTACATATTTTGAATGGTTTGTTGGATTGTTTGTTATGCATTGTAGAGGGTCGGGGACGGGACGCTCGGTCGGGGGACTTGAGCTTCAGTTAATGCGAAAATCAATATCAATCAATCAAGTTGTCTGTCTTCTTTCCCCGACAGAAGTTCGTCTTCAATTACAATGTCTTCAATTGTTTCATCTCCGTGGATGATTGGAAAAGTATTCCCTCATTTTGAATTTCTTATGCATTCATTCTTTGTTCTTCATTCTCTCATTTTTCTTTGTGCAAAATGCTATGAAAATGTCAAAAGTGTATGTGTGTGTGTGTGTAGGAGGAAGTGAGCGATGACGGGGTTGATCGTTCCATGCGATGGAGTGTTTGCTGCTTCCTTCCGGTTACTTGTATATAGATAAAGATTATGTTAAATTATGTTTAACTCTCCTTGATCTGATCCGATCCTTATTTACCGATCAGTCATCATATCCTCTGCCTAGTACCGGTTGTAGCGGCCCCGAGCGCGCTGACGCTGCGGCGTTGCCTTGGGCCCGGCGGCGGCCCTGGCGGGAGTGGCCTTCTTGGCCGGCGATGGGGATGCGTCTGGGGTGCCTGCTGGTGCAGGTGAAGCAGACGTAGCAGCAGCAGCGGCGGCGGCGGCGGCGGCCGGAGCAGCAGCCTTGACCGGAGTCTTGGCAGGCTCTGGTTTGGCGGCAGGCGTAGCCGGTGCTGGGGTTGGAGCTGCCGGCTCTGGTTCTGGCTCGACTTCCTGATCTTCATTGGCCTCCTCTTCGTCCTGGGCCTCCATCTCCTCCTCGCCGTTGTCCTCGCCTTGGCCATCCTCGCCCTCTGCACCCTCTTCATCACCTTCACCCTCGCCCTCACCGCCTTCGGGGTTGGCCTCGGCCATCTCGAAGTCCTCATCATCGCCAGTGGCCTCTGATGGGTCGTACAGCTCGCCTTCGCCACCCTCGGTGGTCTCTCCCTCGGCAGCGGTGCCCTCGGCGGCGGGGGCCTCAGCCTCCTCGATCTTGCGCTTCTTACGCTCAGTCTCCTCCAGGGCGGCGGCAGCGCGCTTCTGGGCGATCTTGGTGTCGCTGGACTTCTCGTTGATGAACTTGAGGAAGTTGCGGTGATGGGTGGCCGTGCGAGAGTGGATCTCGGCGGTCACCTCGGTGTCGAAGAATTTGCTGCATACAGAGCATTCGAAGCACTCCAGCTTCGAGATGAGGCCGGCGCCGACGGCACGCTGCCAGTTGTATTTGGGCAGGCGGAGGTCCACCTCGCTGGGGATCTCGTCGCCGTCTAGGAAGTCGACGATGCAGTCCTCGGGGTCGACGGGCAAAGCGACCTCCTCCTCCTCCTCGCCCTCGTTGAGCTCCTCACCCTCCTTGGTATCGTCGGCGGCTTCCTCGCCCTCCTTGGTCTCCTCACCCTCGGCCTCCTCGCCTTCGGCTGTCTCACCTTCGGCACCAGCCTCCTTCTTGATCTCGGCCTCACCCTCCTTCTTCACGGGCTTCTTCTTGCGCTTCTGGGGCAGACGCAGATCGCGCGTCTCCTCCTCCTCGGTGCTGATCGGCAAAGTCTGACGCTTGCGCTCGCCCACCTTGGTGTTGCTCTCGGCGGCCTTCTTCAGATGCTCGGCGGAGAGCAGATGGGTGTCGAAATCGATGCGAGTGGCGAACTCCTTGTTGCACTCGATGCACTTGGGGTGCAGGAACTTCTTCAGCTGCAGATGTCCCTCCGACTTGCGATGGGTCGAGATGTGGCCGTGGAAGTTCAGATCGCACATGGTGCAGTAGTCCAGCTGGCGCTGCTTGCTCTTGCCCATGCGCTTCAGGCGATCGAACTCAATCGACTTGAGCTGCTCGGCGATCTTGGCCTCCTGTCGGATCATGTTCGCCTTCAGGCGATAGCTCTCCTCAATGCCCTCGCGCATCATCAGATGGGTGCGTCCCTTGATGTGATTCTCGAACGAGTTGGCGTCCCACATGTGCTTCTTGCACAGATGACAGTAGAACATGTCATTAGGCACGCTGGCATACGGCGAGTCCTTGGTGGGGCTACACATATGGAGACGGATCATTAGATAAAGAAAAGAAAGAAACTTCATTAGTATGAGCTCTGGAACAGTAATGTGGGGGATGGACGTTGAGGTCTGGTCTGGCTCTAGGGAAGAGAATACAATATCCAAGGAGCTGGGAGAGACGGAGAGAGAGCTCTTCGCGCTGCAATTATACTTATGATACGTAGGAGCACAGCACAGGCGGCAACAACAGATGGCTTACACATTTATATATTTTTGCATCAAATACATAGTCAACATCAATTTCTGGTGCTTTCATTTGATGAGGCGTTATGAGAGTGAACTTTGATGGAACATCGCAGAGAAATATGCCCCAAAAGTTGAGATCTATTTCAAGTCCTAAGTTTATAATCCAAATCAGCGGTGGGCAGACTTTTGTCGGGAGCAGGTGAGACTCTAGTCGAGCATCAATTTGCCTCGTCATGCAGACGACATGTATTTTGTTTTTTTATTTCGTGGGACCGAGCCTCGGTCTCAGTCGAACAGCCATGTGCCTCGTTTATTTTTTATTCTCGGACAAATTCTTTGGAACTTTTCGCTTGTGCGTTTGGCTGTCGTGGGCGAGCCGTTGGGAGCAACATCAGATCATTGTAAATTTGTTGAATGTTCAATTTTCTTCAACTTTCGAGGCATATTTCTCTTTTCACGAATATTAATTACTAAAATTATTTAAGCTCAGACATAAAAAGTATGATTTTCTACACATATAGAGACGCCACGAAGTCAAACAGGTTCATACATATTTATCTACTTAACTCAATGAAGATATGTTCTTTAAAATAAAATAAATGGACATTTTAGGTGGATTTCCCTTGGGCTCAAAGAAATTAAAAACTACTACTAGACTAGCACTTGACTGGCGTTCGTTCTTTAAAATCATTTAAGATTAAGTAGATGAAGTGTTATATGAGAAGGTTATCTCATGCGATTTATCCGAGATACTAGAAATGGATTGGGGTGATGCGAGTCTTGATCTTCATGATGACTCTCAGTGAAAGAATATTTTGCGTTGCTTATGGTGCTATGAAATTAGGCTTTGCTGCGAAGCATGAGAGACAGAATGCAAAACAAGTGTTCGGTAATCATCAGTGGAAGAACTGATGGAATATTTGTGACAAAATCATTTTTTTCACCCAGCCAGCCAGTTGGCAAAATTGGATCTAAAAAGTATTACAATTTGTAATCTCTGCCGCAACTGACGCCATACATGTATGTATCTCTCTCGCTCTCACTGTGTCGTAGTCTTAAAGAATTCCTTTCCGTATTCCATGATTCGATATTATCAAATTAATATCTACGATCGATCGATTTTCAATCTCTTTGACTTCGTGGCGATTCCAAAAATGAGTTTCAAACTGTACATGAACACACACAGTGATTTAGCCCAGCCTTTAGGTTTATCTTTCGTAAAAATAATACTACGCAAAAAAATACATTATATAGATATTGATATATGTAGAGATGTATATGTAGGTTATGTATATGTATATATATATAGTATAAATATATTATAGATTGTTACGCATTCCCCTGACCCCCCCCGAGAGCACACACATACACACACACATTGAATCGCTTGCACTAATAAGAAAGATAGATAGAGAGAGAGAGAGAGAGAGAGAGCATCAACAAAAGGGAAAAAAGGAGGGCTCCCTTCTGAACAACAATTTCTAGATCTATGTATATATATAGAGATATATATATAAATATATATATATTATTGAGATGTACATATGAGTGGGAACGCAATTTTTGAAGATTGAAAATTCGAATTCCTAAGTACTTATCTATTTAAATAACACTCATATTTTTATTTGATTCTCTTTTGGTGAAAGAAATAATTCCTTCGATTTTGGTGGGTTTAAAAAAATGTTTCTGTTGGTAGATTTTTGTTTTTGTTTTTTTGGTTTTTTGTTGGAAAAGTTTGTTTGTAGTTAGTCTTACCTCTCGATTTTCTTTTCGCCAGGAGTAGGTTCCTTCTTTTTATTTTGGTTGGCATTTTTGGCCAAAAGTTTCTTGGCACGATCAAAAGCATTTTGCTTGCGAATACCGCCGCCGCCCTGCTTTTGCGGGGGCTTGGGACCACCACTGCCACCACCAGTGGCGCCACGATTCTGGAAGCCTCCCTGGCCACGACGATTATTGAGACGATTGCCTGCACCGCCGCCGCGACTGACCATCTTTATATTTGGTATATAGTGTGTGTATCATTTTATCATCATTATCATCATAATAATAAAGGATTTCAACATTTTACAATACAACATCATTTCATTCAACAAATTGCACAGGGCACATGAGAATATCGGTTGGTTTTCGATTTTCGATTTTCGGTTTTCCGTTTTTGATTTTAAACAAAAGAAAGCGGCACAAAA